AAAAAAAAAACAGAAAAAACAGACCTTCCAAAAGGGAAAATTCTATGCCTAAATAGTTAAAAATAATACATTAAAAAGCTACAGATCAATATCATCAGGAACATAGGTGCAAACCAAAGCCAACAGTATATAAAGAGTAAACCTTAGTGCTTTCCCTGAAAGATAAGGAGGCTGGAATGTCCATTTCACTGCTCCTTGTCACTCCTGTAAATTCTAGAAAATGCTCTAAGACTAGAAAAAGAAATGAAGGCAGTCATATTGGGAAGCAAGAAATAAAACGATTTTCAGATAATATGAAAAACCTAAGGAATCTGCCAAAAATCTCTTGCAATTAATGTGGTTAGTTAACAGCATTTCCAGATACGTGATCATTGCACTAACTTTAATCATTTTTCATTATATATAGAGTTAAATAATTAGAAATTGAAATTTAGAAAAAATTAGGTATAGTAGTTCTAAAAAAAATGAAGTATTTGGATATCAATCTAACAAAATATATGCAGGCTATTTAGTTTAAAAACTATGAAACTGGGCCTTTCTGGTAGCCTATGGGTTAAGTTGCATTACTTCCATCACAAAGGCCTACCACTATGGCCTCAGTTTGATCGTGGGCCAGAGAGCTGACCCAAGTGGTACAGCAGACCTCTCCTGTCTGTCCTACAGCTCCCCTCAGCAGTGTATTTCAGTAGATTTGCCTGTTCTGCTCCCCACTCTGTCTCCGATGAATCTGTAGACTCCCCCCTCACTAACTTGCACCACAGTTCTTCTACACAAAAATAGATAAATTGTTTTTTTTTTTTGTTTTTGTTTTTAAAGATTTATTTATTTATTTATACAGAACTGGGGTACAGGTCAGAGATGCGGAGGGTGAGAGGATTCACCGAGACAGAGTGGGAAGCAGAACAGGCAGATCAACAAAGTACACTGCTGAGGGGAGCAGCGGGCGGGTCAGGAGAGGTCTGCTGCGCCATGTGGTCACCTTCGGGGCAGGCAGGAATCGAACTCATGCCATGCGGAAGCGGCTTTAGCTTCTCAGTGCTGTGCTTTAACCCGCTGCGCCACCAGGGAGGGCCAATAAATTGTTTTTTTAAAAAAACAAAACTGATGAAACAAAGACCAAATAAAAATATGTTTATTTCATAAATAGTTATAAAAGAAACATATATTTAATCCACCAATATGACATTTTGGAATATATTTTTCCTGCATGTGAAAGCAAAACGGTAACAATTTTCATCATAAAGTTTAAGATTAAAATGTAACATAGTATCAGAAAAATAGCACACAACTATTTGTAGCTCCTGTTGTAATTGTTATTGTAATTTCTATTAGACTTGTGGGAAATCCTTACTTTGGCTAGCCAGTGTTCAAACATTTAGTTCCCTGGGTGTAAACATTTCAGTTTGGAAGTCAATGTTATTTTTTCTAATCAGGAGTAAAGTTATAGAGAAAGTTAGAATTGAAATTGATAGAGCTTCAAATGAAGGCACTATAAAAGTATATATGATGAGCACAATTTCTAGAAACCCCACTCATCATAGGGAAGTTATCCTATGATATAGTAAAAAAAAATATGACTTTAGAAATATTAATACTATAAAGAGAAAGTTTTAACCAAATATAAGTATATGTGTGTTTATACATTTATTTAAAGTTAGTCTTAACCATTTTCTCTGTAAAACATAGAAGTTTAAGTACAGGGCTTAGACTTTTATTTTGATAGTACCTGTTATTAGGGTTTATTTCATCCTGAAAATATGATGCTGTTCATAGAGAAGCAGTCTAAGTGATGAAATTTTTCATTGTGAATGATTTGCCTCTATAAATTTCTTTGGTCTTTGAAGTCCATTAATAGTAGTGTGGAATGTAAGTTCTTCTGTATTTAAACTTTTGCCTCATTTCAGATGCCTGACAAAGCTAAAGATTGTAAAAGAAAAGCATTTCTCTTAACAATATAAGTTAATAATTCTGAGTTCAAAAATCCTATGATGAACTGCTTTATATTTTTCAAGTTTTATACATTTATTGTTGGTTATTTTTTAAATATAAATACATTATAGCTGAACACATAAACTTCATAAAATATTATAGTTGAATAAGAAAATTCTGTTTCCCATTTCTTTCTCATTTTCTTTTTAAGATCTGTTTTTATTTATGCAACCAGAATTGGGGTGTAGGCCAGAGGTATGGGGAGCAGGTGAGAGACAGAGTTGGGAGCAGAACAGGCAGCTTTACTGAAATATACTGCTGAGAAAAGTGGTGGGAAAGACAGGAGAGGTCTGCTCCGCATTTTGGATAGCTCCCAGGCTGGGGATTAAAGTCATGCTGCAGTAGCTGGTGATAAATTGATAGTACTGACTTTAACCCCTGTACCACCTCTTTTTCATTTTAAACATGTTTATTTAAACAATAGGATGCTTAATTTGAAGAGAAAACATTTATTTCCTTTTTCTTTTTTTGAGGTAACAGTTTACAATTTTGTAGAGGTTCCAAGATTACAGTTCTCATAATCATCACCATAAAAGACCCATTCACTATCTGCTACTGATAAATTTGGCACATTATCAATCATGGGGCACACAGGAGTCTCTGTTATAATGTCACAATAGCAGCACTGGTCCATACAAAGTGAGCAGAATAGCAGCACTTGTAGAAACAGAAGGAGCTAGCAGTGAAGGAAGAGGGGAAGAAACCCTTCTTTTGTTAAACTATGTGATTTTATTGGGTCAAGTTCTTTAAATTATGACATTAAAATTTAGATAACCTGCTCTGTATGTTTGGTGCTATTATTTATTCTATTTCAGGAATTTTTTGTGGTGCCATTTAATCGAAAAGCTCGACAAGAGAACTTGAGGTGTAACAATATGCTTAAACAACTTAGCAGTCAACACTTGGCGACTCTGAGACGCTGGAAAGCAATAAAACTCTATCTTACATGTGAGAGGGGCCCTTGGGCTGAAAGGTAGGAACAGATGATTTGTAGTTTGTTTTTTTTTTTTAGTATTCTGATCTTGAACTTTTTGAGATGGTAGCCTCTGCAATCCAGTTTTTAAATGTTGTTTTTAGAAAGAATTGCTTTTAATTAATTTGATTTTTGTTAATTACAGGTTTGAGATATTTTGAGAACTTTGTTTTTCAACATGGAGTTTTTCTCTTCCTTTAAGTCTTGAATCAATTTATTTCTGTCTTCCTTGACATTGTCTCTTTGAGCCAGAGTTAGAATACTATGTATTTGAATATTTTATGGTTTATTTACTCATCATTAAGTCTCTTCTGTTTTGCTGAGTAAATATATATATGTTTATATGTATACATTGGACATAAATGTATAACTCTGTCTATACATGTATCTGTTTTTTAATTATCTTGAGTATATACTGACAGTCAGAATTGCTAGGTAATGTAGTAATTATGTGTTTAATTTACTGAGGAATTGCAAAACTGTTTCACATAGCAGCTGCATCATTTTACATTCCCATCAGCAATGTTTGATGGTTACAGTTTTCCACAACATTACCAATATTTGTTATTTTCTGATTTATTTATCATGACCATCCTAGTGGGTAGGTGGAAAGCTGTATTTTAAGATTTTTGTTTTTCCTTAATTATTAATAACATTGAACATCATTTTATATACTTGTTAGCTATTTGTGTATCTTCTTTGGAAAAATAGCTATTCAAGTCCTTTGTTCATTTTTAAATTAGATTTTTTTTTTTTACTGTTTGGTTGAGTTATAAAGAGTTAAAAAAGTTTTTTAATATTCTCAATAGTAGACACTTATCAGTTGCACAATTTGTAAAAATTAGCTTGACTTTTTACTTTCTTTCATGAACAAATGTTTTTTATTTCGAAGTCTAATTTGATCTATTTTTAACTTTTTTGTTACTATTGTTTTTGATGTCATATCTAAGAAAGCATCCCCAAATTCTAAAGTCATGGAGATTTACTTTTCCCTTGACTTTTATTTCTTTTCCCTTGACTTTTATTTCTTATGTTTGAAGCATTTATAATTTTACTTTCTTTGGAGTAAAATTATTTTATTTTGAAAACTTTATTTATAATAATCTTATTGTGTAGCTATTTAGGACTTTCATTTAATAGTATAAAAGTTAAAGATAACAAGCTGTAAATCTAGAGATTTATGTTTACATCTTGTTTCTGTTATCTGTAGACCACATGACATCTTGGGCAAATTATTTTGCTTGTGTTAAATTCCTCATATCTAAGTAAGCTATGCATGCTCACATTGGTTTTCTCTAAGGATTGTTAAGGTCAAATGAGATAATGAATGTGCATGTTTTCCTAACATTGGACGCTAACAAATGTAATGTTCCTGATACTTTTGTACTCTGTTTCATTCAGCCAAAATTTGTAATTTTAAGGTACATAATTTTACCTGTTTACTTGTGTATTTTGATAGGAAACAGCATGCAATTCACTGGAAGCTAGCTAATGTGGAAAATTATTCCCGCATGAGACTTAAATTGGTACCAAATTATAACTTCAAATCCCACAATGAAGCTAGCGCACTGAGAGATAATCTAGGTGAGTTTCAACAATGGTTTAATTATTAATAATAGAGATAGTAATGATGGAATTGGTTATTTTCATTAATTGTTTCAAAATTGCTTATCATGAATGAAGAGTGATATACATTTGTATATGTATATGTTAAATGCTGTTGGTTTTAGCCCAATTCTAAGATGACTTTTTATTTCAATTGATTAAATTAATTTTTTAAAGGAAAACATAATTTAAAATCATAAAATTACACTGTAGTTCATGTGAAATACATTGACTCTGTATCCATTGTGATACAGTGGAAAAATAAAAATGGTTCTATTCCCTTAGGTTTTTACCAAGACTGAGGCAAATGTTAAAACATGTGATCTAAAGATCACACACCAAACCTGCCACAAAAACACTAAAATTATTTTGCCATAATCTATCAAAATACTCTCTTTTGGTTGCCAAATACAAACCTATTACTGGTTTTTACACAGCTCCATAGTCTCTGAAGTGTTTGATAGTTATTCTCCATAAGTTTAATTTTTTTCTTAGCACCGCTGTTTAACTTCCCACTTGACTTACTAGTCGTTAGTTTATTTCCCAGTTCACCTTTTAAAGGAGGATGTCGCCAGGTCCATGTCTGCATCTTTTCTTTTACCTGTGATCTTCCTGGGTATCCATGGTTTTACTATTGTGTGTTTGTGTTTTAGTGTATGTTTATTTGTGCATGTACACGCATATATACAAAACCTGTGTGTATAAATATACATCATATATCTACTACACACCTATGAAATATACCTCATCATGTAATTAAGTCAGAAATTATGAAAGTATTATAAGAGAATTAATTTTACTTTGTAATATATATTTTGTTTTTTTTATTTTTGAGCATTTTTCTAAATAGTTTGTTTTTAAGCAGGTATTCAACACTCACAGCCTTCTAGTGATTCTTTGCTTTTGGAAGTAGTGAAACAAGTAAAAGTTAGTGATATGGAGGAGGATAAGTTAGATCTTCCAGAAGAGGATTTGACCAAAGCAAATAAGTATGTATTTGAAAGACTTTGAAATTATTTTGTATACTGGGAAATGGTATTATAAAATTGTGGAGGATATTTTCTTGAAATTCTAACACAATATAGAGGGCCACAGTTACTGCTATTCAGCTGTTAGGAATCTACCAGTGAGATAATTGAGAAAGGCTTCTTAGACTGGAATAAATTGAAACTGAACCTTGAAATTACAAAATATTTTTTACTGAATGATAATGAAAACATAGTATCAAATTATAGGATACAATTAAAGGTATAGTCAGAGAAAAAGTGCATTGTGAAATGTAAATTCTTAAGCAGAAGGAAGAAATTATAAAGATAAATCCATTGAAGTGGTAATCAAAAAACAAAAGAAATACCAAAGAAAGACTAAAAAGCATTCAGACAACAAAATCATAAACATCCAACCAGGTTACCCAGTAAAGAAAAAAAGACAGGTCCTCCATGGTGGCACAGTGGGTTAAAGCACAGCACTAAGAAGCTAAAGCCACTTAAGCATGAGTTCAATCCCCGCCCCTGAGTTGATCCACATGGCACGGCAGACCTCTCCTGACCTGCCTGCTGCTCCCCTTAGCAGTGTACTTTGTCGATCTGCCTGTTCTGCTCCCCACTCTATCTCTGGTGAATCCTCTTAACTATTCCTACATCTCTTCCCTGTACCCTAGGTTCTGTTTGCATAAATAAATCTTAAAAAGAAAAAGAAAAAATGACAAAATAAATAACCAATATCAAGAATGAAATAACAGCTTAATACTACACATATTAAAATAATTTAAAAAGAAAAACTGACAACTTTATGCCATAAATTTGACAGTTGGCCAAAATCCTCAGAAAAATATATACCCTAAATAAATGTTTGATATACTTTTAGTATTTGAACTTGTAATTTAAAAACCTGTAAGCAAAGATAAAATATATTCATTTCCTCATGTCTTAATTATTAGCATGATATTAGAACTTTGCATGTTTTTTAAGTCCAATAACAATTCTATAGTTATTTTTTATGAGCTTATCTTTAAATCCATAAACAAAAATATAAATATATATTACTGTACTTTCATATTTGCTTGCAAAATTTCAATACTTACTTTGTGTACATTTAATTATACTATCTGGTGTCATTTCCTTTCTGCCTGATTGGTGGTCTGTTAGCCACTAATTCTCAGTCTTTGCTCTCAGTGAAGCATTTATACCTTCATTTATGACTATTCTTTGTTAAAAATTGAAGTATGTTTCCTGAAAAGTGAGATCATAGAGCAAAGTTTACAAGTTGAAAAGTATAATTAATTCCACTATTTTTGATCATGTTTTTAGATAACTTGTTTTTAAGTAAGTACCTAATATTCATAAGCTTTCAGTTTAGGTTTTAGTTTATTCACAGAATAAACTTCTCTACTAACTCCAGAACATTCTAATTACCCCAAAAGGAACTCTTACATTTTTTAGTAGTCACTTTCAGTTTTCCCCTTTCTCTGTTTCCTGACAACCATTTATCTAAAATCTTGCCTATTATAGACAATCACTTGTCTATAATCTTGCCTATTTTCTATATTCCATATTTCATACTGTGTGTAGCATTTTATATCTGACTTAATTTCATTCAATATATTTTCAGAATTCATGCTTGTAGCATGTAACAGCGATTCATTTCTTTCTTTCTTTTTTTTTTTTAAAGATTTATTTATTTATTCATACAGAACAGCCAGAGATGCGGAGGGTGAGAGGATTCACCAGGGACAGAGTGGGGAGCAGAACAGGCAGATCAACGAAGTACACTGCTGAGGGGAGCAGCGGGCGGGTCAGGAGAGGTCTGCCACGCCATGTGGATCACCTCCGGGGCAGGGATCACCTCAGGGGCGGGGATCAAACTCATGTTGAAGTGGGGTTAGCTTTCTTTGCTGTGCTTTAACCAGCTGTGCCACCAGGAAGGGACAACTTTAATGATTTTTAAGGGCTTCTTTGATTGTTTTATAGAAACTGGATAAGAATAGTATATAGGTTGGGCCCTCCCTGGTGGTGCAACGGGTTAAAGCACAGCACCGTGAAGCTACTGCAGCCACTGAAGCATGAGTTTAATTCCCAGTCAGGGAGGTGACCCACATGGTGTGGCAGACCTCTCCTGGCCTACTCACTGCTCCCCTGTACTTCAGTACATCTGCCTGTTCTGCTGTCTGCTCCCCACTCTGTCTCTGGTGAATCCTCTCACCCCCCTGCACCACTGGCCTGTACCCCAGTTCTGTATGCTTAAATCAATAAATCTTAAAAAAAAAATAGTATATAGTGATATATTTTTAGATTATTTAGACAATCTTCTGTTGGAATCTCAGTTTCTATCTTTAGTCTCTAGTGAATTCAGTCTATATAAGTCTTACTCATTTTTTTTTTCTTTAAAGATTTATTTATTTGTGCATACAGAACTGGGTACAGGCCAGAGGAGGTGGGGTGGTGAGGGAATTCACCAGAGATGGAGTGGGGAGCAGAACAGGCAGATCTTCGAAGTACACTGCTGAGGGGAGCAGCGGGTGGGCTGGTCAGGAGAGGTCTGCTGTGCCAGGTGGATCATCTCTGGGGCAGGCGGGGATCAAACTCATGCTGAAGTGGCTTTAGCTTCTTGGTGCTGTGCTTTAACCTGCTGCACAACCAGGGAGGGCCAGTCTTATTCATTTTTAACTTAATAGCTAAAGCACTTTATTTTTAGACTAAAAGTATTCTTTAGACTGTCTACTCATGTAGGTTATTTAATTCTTCAGTTCATTATTATAAATGCTAGAATTTCACTGTTTAAGAAAATGTCCCTTATATTTAACTTTTAAACAATCATTGCTTTGAGTAAAGCTTTGCAATATTCCAGTTAGGTTGATATACTGAGCTTCTTCATGGGAATGCATTTAAATGAAATTTCTATCCTGGAAATGGAACAGATAAAAAATACCTGGGAGTAGCTGGCTTCCAGATTTATTTGAATAATGGTAGTAGGAGTTCCCATTTATATTCTTGGCAGTCAAAGAATACAAAAGACCACCAAAAGATTGTTAATTACTATTATCAATATGATAATGATAATTGTCCTAATACAGATGACTTCACTTTACATATAACAATAGTAGGTCTTTGTTTTATTTATCTCCTTTTCCATCGTCAGGGATGCTATGATGATAATGCTGTACTTTTAGTTGCTCATGAAAAAATCTTAACTTACAGTTTAAGAATCAATCATAGGCCCTCCCTGGTGGTGCAGCGGGTTAAAGCACAGCACTAAGAAGCTTAAGCCAGTTCTGCATGAGTTCGATTCCCGCCTGCCCCGGAGGTGACCACACTGCTCCCCTCAGCAGTGTACTTCGTTGATCTGCCTGTTCTGCTCCCTGCTCTGTCTCTGGTGAAGCCTCTCGCCGCCCCTGAGCCTCTGGCCTGTACCCCAGTTCTGTATGCACAAATAAATAAATCTTAAAAAAAAAAAAGAATCAATCATAATTAATATTTCTCATAATTCCTTATGAAAACACCACTAACCATGCAGTCCTTCACTCACAAATTCATATAGTCCCTAGGTTGATTCATAACTCCCAAATAATGACCTGATTAGTATTACTACATTTTTAAACTATTCTCTGCCAGTGATTGACTCTAATCTGTATTAATTGTCAAATATACTTAAAATGTAACAACATGCAATATAAAGACAAAATAGAAAAAAATAAACTAGTGGTAATTGAAAACTGAATTAGGGTTATGAAAGGTGAAGAGAGTGGAGTGGAAGCAAAGTGGTAGGCTTTTGTTTTACTTTTGAAGAATGTTTAAAATTTAATATAAAGCTTTTTTTAAGGTAAAACTTTTTTTAGCTGAGTTATTCTAAAGTGAGAATACTTGGACAGTATTTAAGTAATTTAACATTGTGTTATTTATGTGAGACATATTGCTATATACTTTTTGGTCATTTAACTGGTTTTGTTTTTACAGTGATGAGAAAGAAGAACAAGATCAAAAAGAAAAATTAGTGTTGTCAGAAGACTGTGAACTCATTACAATAATTGATGTAATTCCTGGCAGACTAGAAATCACTACTCAGCACATTTACTTTTATGATGGCAGCATTGAGAAAGAAGATGGTAAGGAGTTCTGGGGGGATAATTTCTGTTGTCCAGTAGTTAAGTATTCATTTTATTAATTATTAATGAGAAGAAAGTAATAAGATTAGACAATAGAATTATAGTCTGTCCTGTAAAAGGAAAAAAGTTAGTAGTTAATGTGGGTATTAGTGTATTGGTTAATTTGTGTTGAAGACAATCCATTTTTGTTTTTTAATGGTTTGACCAGGTGGGATTGTTACAAACATAAGTCATGTGCTAATTTTCTAAGTGTTGTTTTTGTCAAGAACTAGTAGTTATTTTCTGCATTAGTGTGAGTAACTTATAGGGTACCTTGGTCATAAGAATTTTTTTTTTCAGGAGCAAGCTTTGATTTCAAGTGGCCTCATTCTCAAGTTCGAGAGATTCATTTGCGGCGTTACAACTTAAGGAGATCAGCCCTTGAAATTTTTCATGTTGACCAGTCCAACTACTTTCTTAATTTCAAAAAAGAGGTATGTGGGATGGTGCCTTCTGGAAGCCCCAAAGTATTAGCTTGCAAAAAATTTCCTGCTAGTGAGTGCTAATGCAGCTTTTGTACTTTTTCATAAAATCAAAATTTGGAAGAAAAATGGATATCTTGGGGGCTAAGTAATAAATATGTTTTTGCTGGTATTTGTGTTTGAGTGTCTGTAGGGTGATTGTTTCCAAGTATTGTAGGCAAAGAGGTAAGTAGAATATTGAGTATCAGCTAATAGTTGCTTCACAGTCTTTAATTTTGAAATAAAATACAATATATATGAAATATGATTGAATTTATAAAACTAGATCAGGTTCAGTTCAATAATAATAATAATAGTGGGCCTCCTGGTGGTTCAGGAGTTAATCTTAGCACTGTCAAGCTATCACCAACCAATGTGGTATGAGTTTGATCCCCAGCATGGGGGCTAACCACAGTGCTTCCCTCAGTAGTATATTTCAGTAGATCCACCTGTTCTGTTCCCTACTCTGTCTCTGGTGAATCCTCTGCCCCCCATACCCTCCATACTGCTGGTGTACACCCCAGTTCTTGTTTGCATAAATAAATATTTTTTTAAAAGCAGAAGAATAGTGTAAGTGATTAAAAGCACAGCTCTGAAGCCATTTTACCTAGGTTTAAGTACCGACTCTCCTTTTACCTGTGAAATCTTTGGAACTTAGAACTCTTGCCTTCGATTTTCTCTCCCTCTGTCATTCACTTGGGGTGAAATAGGCATCACCCTCTGACAGTCCTCCCCACCTTACCTCACTCAGCTTTTTCTCACACATCTCTCCTAATGAGATGCTTGCATGTTCAATTCTCTCTTGGATTCTGCTTTTTAAATGACCTAAATTAGCATCATAATAACTAAATTTCTCTCCATTCATGGAATTCAGGTTTACTTATAGATAATTTGATGTAAATATTTAAAGAATATTTTCCTCTTTTTACAAAAGGATACTTCTTTTCTATTACTAAATTTTCTGCCATGCAAAATACAAAGCATGTGTATTCAGTACATCTGTATAACTTAGTTTTTAAACACCTTTGTAAATAGTAGTAACCTTCATAACAACCTTCAGATTAGCTATGGCAAATTCAAAATTGCATTTTTCGTTGTTTTTTTTTTTTATAGATGTATAGCCCTAAATAATTTATAAAGCTGTAAGGACAGAGATTATGTTCAAAGCATGATTGAAACTCTGAGTTATTGATTTCCTTATAGAATTAGTCAATGACATAATTCAGTTTGAGGGAGATTTAAGATAGTTTTATTATTCAAGGTCTGATGATCATTATATAATGTAGAATAAATTTCTAAAAAAATACATGGCTGGACTTCTCTAAACCTAGTGTAATAGGGAAGTTCTAAACTGTTATCCAATTTTTATACAAAATGTCAAGTGTAGGCAAATCCATAAAGGCTGAAAATAGATCATAAATTTTCAGTGAATGGAATAGAATAGGAATTGGAGAATGATAGAGAGTATTAGGTGTCTTGTTGTGATGATGAAAATGTTCTAATGTTACACAATGTTATTTTATAGTTGGGTAACTCTGAATATACAAAAAAACTCCACCATTTTTGGCATATGAATTCCATCACAGTAAAGCTGCTGAAAGGCTATAATACTAGTTTGTTCTGAACAATTTAAAAATTATGTGTTTTTCTTACAGGTTAGAAACAAAGTATATAGTAGACTGTTGTCACTTCATTCTCCAAATAGTTATGGAACTGGATCACCACAGGAGTTATTCAAAGCATCAGGACTGACTCAGGTAGGAGATTTTTAATATCATTGTTTTTATATTCATTTTATATCTTTTTTCTTTTTAAAGATTTATTTATTTACTCATATAGAACTGAGGTACAGGCCAGAGATGCGGAGGGTGAGAGGAGTCACCAGAGTGGGGAGCAGAACAGGCAGATCGACAAAGTACACTGCTGAGGGGAGCAGCGGGCGGGTCAGGAGAGGTCTGCCATGCCATGTGGATCTCCTCCGGGCAGGCGGGAATCGAACTCATGCGGAAGTGGCTTAAGCTTCTCAGTGTTGTGCTTTAACCCACTGTGCCACCAGAGAGGGCCCATTTTATATCTTATTACAGTTTCTATTCTTGCATTCAAATCAATCATTTGAATTTCCTTTTATTCTTCTTGCTTCACTCACATTCATCATACTGCATCCTGCAAACCCCTCTATCATTTCATTTGTGGGCTTATCTTACGAGTTTTTCTATCACAATGATTTTCTCTTTCAAAAGAACAATTTGAGATAAAAATGAGGAAATATAAAAAGCACTATGAAGAAAGACAAAAATAAAATCATGAATCCTTCACCAGTCGTCTAAGTAGTGTTCTTGTGTGTTTTATCATCTATTTGCCATCTCTTGAGTTTGTACTGCCCAAACCCAAAGAGGGGGGCATTGTGGTTCCTTTCCAAGCTGTAGAAGTCTTGTAATTAGCATCTCTACTTGCTGGCTGCATCCTTTTTCCTAATTGTACATCAGTCTTAATCTCAAGCATTGCTTTGTTCAAAAGCCTCCAGCAATTCTTTCCTACAGCCCGTGGGATAAGCTTTACATGATGAAGTATATTACTTGTTTTCTGTGAAATAAACTTTATTTTTTCCATACTAATTCCTTAACTGGGCACTGAATAGTTAGTTAACAATTAATTCAAAGTAGTCTTTCTATAAAATGTATACATAAAGATTAATTTTTCACCATAAGTATTTATCTTTTGCTTAATGTGTATGTATATATATATATATATATATATGTTTAAAGGTGAACATTGATCTGTCAGCTGATTTTTTTGAGACTACTCACAATGTGTATAGTAATTAGCAAACTGGTTACAATGAGGTGATTAAAAGAAAATAATGATTATTTCATTTTTTAGAAAATTTTGCCTGTAGTGTAACAAAATCTCATGTACCATTCATTGTACTCAAAGGCTGTTCTTTGAGGATAGTTAACGTAATGTTTCTTTCAAATTTGTATATCATGTGAGTACGTTAAGATAAATGTTAGGTATGTACACTATAACAAAATTTTCAAAGTTAGGCAGTCTTTTTAGAATTAAAAAGTAGTCAAACAAAGAATTTTTATAAATATCTTTTGGACTGTAGTATAAGATATATGTTGAATTTTCTGTTTCTTATCTAGAGACCAATTTTTTTTTTCCTTGGGGTGCATTTGATGGTATCTAAACTGGAGAATTCAGGAACTGAGGTGGCTGGGCAGGCCCACCATCCTTGCCTGCCCCTTAAAATGGTAGAGACCAATTTTTAAAAGGAAGGGGATTTAATAAAAACATGGATTTTGTGTTCTTAACATTTTTAAAAAGTCCTTTTCCTTTTATCAAAAGACAAGGTATCCCTAATGGTATAGGGGTTTAAGGTTAAAGTCAGGGCTATCAAGCTATCACCAGTGACATGAGGTCCATCCCAGGCCAGGGAGTTAATTAATGTAGATGGCACAGCAGACCTTTCCTGACTGACCCACTGCTCCCCTCAACAGTGTATTTCAGTAAATCCACCTTTTCTCTCCCCACACTATCTCTGGTGAATCCTCTCAACTTTCCCTTACCCCAGCACCTCTGGCCCTGAACCCCAGTTCTTATATGCATAAGTAAATAAAAATAAATCTTTTAAAAAAATGATAGAGATAATGGGAAGAAAAGATTATGTAGTACTGTCAGTAGTAGTTGCTGATTCTAAGGGATATAGATTAACTTTGCTTTTGATGTTTTGTAGAAATGGGTAAACAGAGAGATATCAAATTTTGACTACCTCATTCAATTAAATACAATGGCAGGACGAACCTATAATGACCTTGCACAGTATCCTGTGGTAAGTTTTATATAAGCTTCATAAATAAGGAATTGCCTTTCAATTTTATAATACACAGAAATATATGTGCATCATAAATAATTTTTATTTTTAAAGTTATATTAGACTATTTTTCTCTTATTGTATATATTTGTTATTTTCCAAAACTGTATAAACATAAAGTGTACTTAATAAAACCCTTTTTCTTTTACTTTATTCAAAAGATTCCAGAGGAATTTAAATAATAGCTCTGGTTAAGGAACCAAATATTATAACTTTCATAATAGGGAAAATGTGGTTTTAACGACTTTATTTTTTGTCCATAGTTAAGCATTTGATACTAGATATGAAGTTATAAGTTCGCTAGGAAAGAATATCTAAATTGTAAAATGTGGTCTTTTTAGTTTCCCTGGATTTTACAAGATTATACTTCAGAAGAATTGGACCTTAATGACCCATCAGTATTTCGAGATCTTTCCAAACCAATTGGAGTAGTTAATGATAAAAATGCCAAAGCAATGAGGGAGAAGTAAGTATCACTTATCCCTTTTGAATGATACCCATTCTTTGTTTGAACTTGTATTGATTTCTACTATGACTAATCAAATATTTTTTTGTTTTGTTTTGTTTTGTTTTAATGTACAACTACTTTTGATAATCATTCTGATAATTCCTTCACTAAGTTTTCTTGAAAGCATATCAGTTTACTTTCAAATATCTTAACTATAAGTCTGTTTCTTTTCTGTCAAATTTAAGTTGGTATCGTTTAGAATTTATTTTTGCCTTGTAATAAGTATATAGTAAAGGGAATTATTTCTTAAAAATTTTCTTCCCAGGTATTTTAGATTTAATAACCTGCAAAATTAATATGTAAAAATATCTATCTAAATTAATATTCTGGAGCCCTCGCTGGTGGTGCAGTGGGTCAAAGTGCAGTACTATGAAGTGGCCAGCAGCCACAAGTTCAGTAAGGGGCAGAGGCTGACTCACATGTCCAGCTGACCTCTTCTGTCTCTCCTGCTGCTCCCCTCTGCAGTGTATTTCAGTAGACTCCATTTATATAGTATTTATAAAAATTTGTATGCAGCATAAGAATATGCTGTAAAGTATTAAAATGTCAATTTAAAATCTTTTCACATGAAGGATTGCACTTACCTATCTTCCCCAGTTCTTGTAGGCATAAATAAATAAATCTTTTTAAAATTTAATTAATATTCTGGTAGATACAGAATTAATGCTAACTTGTTTTTCAAGAGTTATGTAAATAGAAGCAGTAAAATGTGGAGAAATTTAGAAAATATTTTATAAGGAAGGGAATTTTTATTTAAAACTTTTATGACCGGGCCCTTCCTGGTGGCGCAGAGGGTTAAAGCACAGCACTAACAAGCTAAATCCACTTCCGCATGAGTTCGAGTTCGATTCCCGCCTGCCCCAGAGGTGACCACATGGCGTGGCAGACCTCTCCTGACCCGCCCGCTGCTCCCCTCAGCAGTGTACTTTGTCGATCTGCCTGTTCTGTTCCTCACTCTGTCTCTGGTGAAGCCTCTCGCCCCACCCCTGAGCCTCAGGCCTGTACCCCAGTTCTGTATGCACAAATACATAAATCTTTGAAAAAAAAAAACCAGACTTTTATAACCTATGCTGTAAAATTCTCACCTTTTTTTATTAAAACAGGTAAAGGAATGATTCAGTTTTAATTTACCTTTTTCTCTATGTGAACTTGTAGATGCCCACTATAGATTCTGATAACAACAAAAATGAACTAATTATTATTTCATTTTAAAAAGTCCAGTATGGGTCCTCCCTGGTGGCGTAGTGGGTTAAAGCACAGCCCTAAGAAGCTTAAGCCACTTCCGCATGAGTTCGATTCCTGCCTGCCCCAGAGGAGATCCACATGGCTGGCAGACCTCTCCTGACCCTGCCGGCTGCTCCCCACAGCAGTGTACTTGGTTGATCTGCCTGTTCTGCTCCCCCACTCTGTCTCTGGTGAAGCCTCTCACCCTCTGCATCTCTGGCCTGTACCCCAGTTCTGTATGATAAATAAATAAATCTTTAAAAAAAAAAAGTCCAGTATAATTGCCTCAAAATACTATATAATATGATTGGGATGTCACTTGTCAAACCACCATTAAAACAATTACACCATTAAAACAATTACTCATGTAACTATCACTGTTAGTAATTGATAGTACCCTGATTAGGCATTCTTTTATCTAACAACTCTTGGTTTTTTGTTTTTTTCTTAGCTAAATTGCTTAGTACCACTCCTACAGTTTTTAATTGACCCTCCTCCATTTTTTCCTATTTCCTTGACCATAAAAGGATATCTGTTTATTATGTTGCTAACAATTATATAGAAATGGAAATAACCTATGTATTTAAAAGTGAAGAAGTAGTTAAATTTTATACATGTACAATGCAGTATTTACCTTTAACAATAGTCTGTTTGGAAAGATGCTAATAGAAAATTATTTAATGAAATAATGTTTTCAATGATGTATTATATATAGCACTTTTATATTAAAATGCACTTCTGTACTAATTTTAAACATTAGATTTGACAAATACTTACCAAAATGTTAATTTTTTTATAGGAAATACAATTGTAAGTTTGTCCTTTTCAGTATATGCATTTTTTGTTTTATCTACAATGAATATGTTTTACTGCATAATACAAAATTGTTTCAGAATCTCTTATCAGTGATATTTCATTGCTTTGAAAAAATACTAACTTTTTTTTCATTTATTGTTATGGTATGATGATAATACCTCGAAAATGTAGCAAGGATTTCTTAAAAACTGTTTTCAGCAGTACAAGCTTTGGCTTCCTAATTTGCTTTCACTATTATGGTTACATAACCTAAGTTTCTTTTTTTAGATATGAAAATTTTGAGGATCCTATGGGAACTATTGATAAATTTCATTATGGTACTCACTATTCAAATTCCGCTGGAGTCATGCACTACCTTATTCGTACAGAACCATTCACTACTCTCCATATCCAGCTTCAGAGTGGAAGGTATGTTTTGGGTAATAAGCTGTTTTTTTGTAACATTATACATTAGTGTTGAAACTCTATTATACCTTCATGTTATATCCTGATTAACAGAGCTTTATCTTTTTATTCTATTTGGTTTTATCATTTAATAGCCTTTAGATAAAAATAACCAAGTTAGTTTGAAAATGGGTTATTCAAACTGATTCACACAAATAAAGGATAATTGCTATTTACTGTTACCCAGTATGAATTTGTAATTCTTAGATTTTAGAAATCTAGGAGAGATTTAGAATTAGAATTGACTTACATCTAGATTCAAGATATCATCCAGGGATTCAGCCTTAATCAATGCCTTGGGACCTTCATTATTAGCAACCCAGTCTTTGATCCCATTATTAGCAACCCAAACAGTCTTTGATGCCATTGTGTTAGCAACCCAGTCATATTACTTATCAGTACTATAATTTTACATGTTTCCCAGTTTCCTAATAATCCTAAAGTTCAACTTCTCCATAAATCTTCAATGCCTCAAAATGACCTCCAGGTAACTCCCTACTTATTTGCATTATGTTTCCATATTATTTTTATTTTTCACATTTTATTTGGTGTTCCAGAGGAATGAGCCTCCTCCCTGTCAACAGAGATGCTCACTGTTTCTTTACCCACTCCCAGCATGGACCCTGGCCTTTGCTGGGCACATCAGGCATGTTTACAACAACTTGGAGGGTGCCTGTAAGGTCTGATCTGGTTGTTCATGATGGCATACTTAGTGTTAGGGTGCTGAGTTAAGGGAGAATTACAGCCAGGCCAGACCCTCTGTTGTGAGACCAGAACTGGCTCCTTCGTCAAAACAATACTGAGGAAAGTGGGGAGTGTCACAGTCATCTAGGTCTCAACTGTGGTGCTGCTTTATTCTTTACCATTTTACCTTTCTGGATTACAAGAGTGATGTAAACCATTCCCTGTTCTACTTCCTTTGCAGGAAACATTTATCACTCACAAGCCTTTAAGAAAGCACTTTGTCCCCAGTATCACTACACATCCCCAGTGCTACATGTATCATAATAACAGTATATTATTCCCAGTAATCATTTTTCCAGTTTTTAAAGATTGTGTGAAAAAAATTGTTTTTTACAAAACTTCATTAATATATTCTGTTTATGCTTCAAAAAACACAATGAAGAAAGTGAAATGCAAGCTATTGTTATGAGAAAAATATTATAAAATTATATATCTAATAAGGATATTTTATATACAACATATAAAGAACCCTTATAACTCAATAATGAAAAACAATGACCCAATTAGAAGTTGGACAAAAACTCTGAATGGACAGTTTTTCAAAGAAGATATACACATGTCTAGTAAAACATGAAAAGATATTCGGCATCATTGGTCTTAAGGAAGGAAAAATTCAAATCAAAACTAAATTGAGATAACCATTCACATCCACCAAGATGACTCTAACTATAAAGACTGATAATTGTATATGTTGCTAAACAAGTTCAGTAAAACAACCCTAATGTCCATCATCTGATAAGTGAATAAATAACTTGTAATGTATCTATCCAATGAAATCTTATTTGGCCATGAATGAATAAAAGGAATGCAGGGTTCATATTATGACATGGGTTAACTTTGAAAACACTAAGCTAAGTGAAATAAGCCAGACACAAAAAGCCGTATATTGTATGATTTGCATGAAATATCCCAAACAGGCAAATCCATAGAGACAAAACGTAGATTTGTAGTTGTTGGAGATTAGGGAGGTGAATGGAGACTAATGAGATTTTTTCGTTAGGGATGACAATATATACTTAAATTGATTGTGTTAATGGGGACTAAAATTGCAATATTTACTTCCTGATGAAAAAATATAAAAGACCATATAAAAGACCATTATAAGGACAGCAAATGTTAAAGAAAAAAAAATAAAAATAAATAAAAATAAAACCCTCTAATCATTTGAAACCCAAGAGGAATTTAAGTTTTTTTGTGCTTGTTTCTTTATTCAGTACTACCTTTCTTTTAATCTCCATGTTGCAGGTTTGACTGCGCAGATCGACAATTCCATTCCATCCCTGCTACCTGGCAAACTCTAATGGACAATCCATATGATGTGAAGGAACTTATCCCTGAATTCTTCTATTTCCCAGAATTTTTGGAAAATCAAAATAGTAAGAAATTGTAGATTAAAATTTGACTCAGTAGCCTAAAAAATATCTTTGAGGACATTTTTGTGATCTTTTATAGATTACTTAAGGTTCATTCTGTCTGTGAGTTATTTAGTGACAGGGTTTAATTGCTGCTCCTTTACTGTTCTGACCTTGAGGGAAGTTCTTTAATGAACTCAGTAAATGAGTCAAATTTCAATTGGTAAAAGAACTTAACAGAGTACACTGTTTACTGAAGAGGAAATAATAGTCATATGCTATTTCATCCATATAGCCTCTTAGATTAAAAGTGTTTGAGTTAGATGAGAATTTAGAACAGGGGTCAGCAAACCACAGGTACACAATAAGGTGGAATATTGCCAGCTAGTTTATTTGTATATGTCCTGTGGTTACTTTGACAGCAGAATGGCAGATTGATTTGAATCATTGCAAAAGAGACCATATGGCTCACCAAGTCAAAAATATTTATTCTTTATGGAAAAATCTTGCAGACTTCTGATTTAGAGTATAATAGAAGAGACAAATCGAAAATTATGACAGGGTAAATGTTACCATAATATTTGAAAAATCATGTTTTTGAAACACTAAATTTTAAAAGGATCTAGATACAATCTTTAAAAATGGTGAAATACTTTTTCTATGAAGTAGTTTAAAAAAAAAAAGATTTATGCATACAAAACTGGGGTGCAAACCAGAGGTACAGGGGTGATGAGAGGCTTCACCAGAGACAGAGTAGGGAGCAAAATAGGCAGATTGAGGAAGTGCACTGTTGAGAGAAGCAGTGGGCGAGATAGGAGAGGTCTGCCGTGCCATGTGGATCGCCTCGAGGTAGGGATCGAACTTGTAGTGAAGCTGCTGCGGCGTGCTTGTAGTGCTGCGCTTAACCTGCTGTGCCACCAGAGAAGCCCGGAGTAGTTTTATTTTTAAGCACAAATAAGGAAATTGCTAAGATTCTTACCAGTAGTACCTTTTTAGGAAATGTATTGTGCCAAAGGGCCATTATCAACTTTTTTTCTTCCTGTCATGTAATGTTAATGTTTGACCCTTTGCTCACTCAGTTGAATTATTTGTTCCGCTGGAGAGAGCATACATTATCCAGTGCTGCTTGTCCGTTGATTTATGCTCTGGGACAAGCTATTGAAGCAGGGCACCTGATTCTCAGAGCAAGGCAGTTAGAATTGGTGACAGTCAGAAAATCAAGTAAATCTATTTGCTGGGTCTGATTTTAGGCTCTGAGTCAGCCACTGAAGAAGTGTTTCCTAAAATAGGGTATCTGGGATATGCAGGATGAACAAGTTAAATATGGAGTGTTTAAATTAACTAAGTCACGGACCTTGTGCATCCTTTAACATTTAAACTTCTCTCCAACATTGAGACACAATGGTATTTTAAGACAATTTCTCTTCTGATGGTCTTTATTTTCCTAATATTTTTTTCTCCTGTTGTAAATAAGAAAACTTATCTTTGGGACAGTTTTTTTTTTTTTTTAGAATATGGTATCGTAACTATATGAAAAAATCTTCATGATGCTAGTATCTACTTATAATTGTGATAAATAAATATGTAGTTCTTCCATAAGACATATACAACTTCCAATCATTGAGGTATGAGTTATTCTAATGAACTGTATTTTGTATACTAATCATCAGAGGGACTATGCTAATTACTTTTAGTGTAAAAAATATTTAATATTACATTTTTGTTCAGATTAAGGTTAGGTCATAGTTCTAATTTTCTCAGCCAAAAATACATTATTAATCTGATTTAATGACTAACTTAAAATCTTTTAATTCAACTGTTAAAATACATTCCGATAGAGAATTCTTTTTATCTTCAATAAAATTATACCAAGAGGAGAACTTATTTTTCACCTTTCAGTCTAAATTTCAAAAAATCTTCAGTTTTGCTAAGAAACATCCTATTTATTTTATGTAATTTACTATAAATCTTAAATGATTGGCACATTTATCTTTTATGTTTCTTAGACTTTAACTTGGGTCGTCTGCAAGTTTCCAAAGAACTAGTAAATGATGTCATTCTCCCCAAATGGGCTAAGTCAGCTGAAGATTTCATCTATAAACATAGGAAGGCATTGGTAAGATTTTTTGTTTAGTTATTAGACTAATAACAATAACTATGTATGAGGTTTTGAGACTATGAAGTATATCTATTATTTTTCTAGATTAATTTATAATCTACTGTATTTGCTGTTTTAAATACCCAATTATAGTATTTATTTCGAAGTTACGAATCTTCAGATCTAATGAGACTCTGGTATAGTCCATGAATATGTAACAACAACAAAAATATTCAGTTCTGTAAGATGTCTGCCTGTTGCACATGAAACTATTCCAGACACCAAGCTAGTGTAATTTGATGTTTCTCAATTCCTACATTTATTTAAAATTTAAGAACAATTATTTTCTTATTTTTTTCTGAAGGACTTTAGTAAATTTCTAATAAGACAGCTAAATGTCAGTTTAAAAAATAATCAGTTTTAGCAAAATTTTCAATTTGGAATTGAAGGCTTGGGAAAATTAGTTTAGTTATGCTAATGTGTTATCTTCAGATGATGTGTTCTCCCCCATAATTGCTCCTTTGGTTCTCTTTCTAAACTGAAATGTTGTAGACAATCAAACTAAGTTTTGGAAACTTGGAATACTTCCTTTGTTATTAGTGCATAGTTTGTCAGACTTACAAAATTCAGTATTATATTTGAATAAGTAATCCTATATATGAATAAAGAACTGGGAAAGACAATAAAACTTTGAAAAATAACCTATTGCACATTAACTATCCTGGAACTTCTGAGGTGCTTCCCTTCATGTTGTTGATGACATGAGTTAGATATTCAAGACTTTAGGCATATATGCTACTGGCTAATGAATTGGTATTTCAGTCAAATATTAAGCAACAAAGTACCCCAAAGTTTACTTATTGTAGACATTTTATTATTATTACAGTTCTGTGAGTTGATTGGTCCCAGTTGGGCAATTCCCCTGATGTTGCTTGAGATTCTCATGACTTTGCAGTTATATATCTGCTGTTGTTGAAGGCTTCTGCAGGCTGATTTGAGGCATTGGAGTGCTGGACTTCCTCTCCATATAGACTTAGGATATCTCCTCCTCCTGTGTTCTCAAACTAGGTAGCCAGACTTTTTTCATGGTAGCTCAGGGCTCCCCCAAAGTGCAAAAGTGGAAGCTTCCCTACTTTCCTAAGGCTCTGAACTGTGACACCAATACTTCTGCCACCTTATAACATAACAGGATCAAGACAAGGAAAGTAAACTTCAGCTCTCAATGATGGAAGTGAGAAAGAACGGCCACAAATTATTTATATTCCTATTACATTCAAACTGTACTCATTTCCTTTCCAGAGCTTAAGGCAGTGATCTGCAAACACTTTTTTCTGTAAAGAACCAAGATAGTAAATATTAAAGTTAGGTGTGAGGTCTGTGTCAAAATTTTGCCAATGGAGTATATAAAAGAAAATGAGTGTATCTGTCTTCTGTCTGGACAGCTAATAAGAATTGTCCTATTGCTGGTAGTTTGTTGATCCCTGCATTAAGGCATGAGATCTGAAGCCCAGAATCTTGTCAGTAATGTAAATCAAATCCACAGGTGATTAAAATTATGCACATGTGTCTTTTCTTGGATCTGAAGACTGTGAAGAGGCAGGTGTAACAAGGATGGGAGAATTTAGTTGACACTGATATTCAAAAAGGAGAAAGAAACAAGCAGTGCCTAACAATAACTGGTTTATCACATTTCTGAATTCCAGCTGGGACATGCTCTCAATCCTGTTATGAGAGTCTACCTATACTCTCTGGCAGCATTTTTTTTTAAAGATTTATTTATTTATGCATACAGAATTGGGGTACAGGCTAGAGGTGCAGAAAGGTGAGAGGATTCACCAGAGACAGAGTAGGGAGCACTGCTGCAAGGAGCAGTGGGTGAGCAGGAGAGGTCTGCTACTCCATGTGGATCACCTCCAGGGCTGGGAGTGGAATTCACAATAATGCTACTACGGACAGCTTGCAGTGCTATGTCCTAATCCCTTACACCACGAGGAAGGGCCCCTAACAGTAATTTTTTATGGCTTTTTTGTTTTACCCTTGGGTTCTTGGCTTCCTGCGCTACATCATTCTTTCTTCCCCATTTAAAAAAAAAAGTTTTTTTTACGTGAGTATTTTTGTTATCCTATATATATTTAGTTGGAAGCAAAAGGTCTCTGCTTTTTTGAAATTTCTCTCTTTTAGTCTGAACTGATGTCATTTCTTTTCAGACTTTATGAACCTTACACATCACTTCTATTAGGTAAAACCATTCCACAGCACTTTATAGACCTTCCCTTATCTTTGGCCTAACTGGAGGCTATGATGAGAAAATGCCCTTAAAAATCTTAAAATAGCCTTTTCTCACTTTGAGAGTCTTTGCTTTCTAACGATCCTGGAAATGAATGTTTTATTTTAAATCCAACAAGACCTGCCTTTTTTGTTTTTGAAAGTTATATCTAAAATCCAGATAGCTCATTTTTAAGTCATCTTACTCCTCCCATGCTTGGCCATAGGAGGAGGTAAGAAGCCTGCTAACACTTAAATCGTTCTGCCTGGGAAACTTCTTCCTAGAATCCACAAGTTTAGTAGGTACCCTTTCTTTTTTTTTGAGAATTTGAGTTCTAAACATATTTAAAAATATGTTAAAAAGTATGTTTTAAAAAGTTGAGTCCTCTTTTCTTTTAACAACAATATTGATTCCTTACTGACTTTGAAGCCATCACTAACAGACTCCAGGAAGTCCTTCAGGCCTGTAGGAAGCTACAGGCAAGTCCTTGAGGGAGTGGGGTAAGCTAGATTTATGGGCAAGAAGTAAACTGGGCATGGAGGTGAGCGTCCAGCCATACTCTTTAAGATGGGGAGAGATTCTTGGCAGGTGATACATTTTAATCTGTAAATTAGGTATTTATAGGATGTCTCTGGTTCTTCAGTTATATTTTCCTGAGATCCTCCGTTTCATATCCATTTTAGACTAAGATACGATCAGAAAATGAATTTCTGCACAACTATTTCAACTGAAATTTCACACACAAACAAGAAATTTTCCACAGATATCATTTATTTTTTGTTGTTGTTATTTGAACTCTTAGAATATTTATATTATTTTCTCCACCTATCGGCTGGAAAATGCATATGTAGCAAATATTAATAAATATATCCTACATTATACTATATAGAATATAGTCAACATATGGAGTAGTCATTGAATAAATGTTTACCATGACGTCAAGATAATAATATAGTGGTAAGATTTGTGTGTGGAAATGCTTAATTTGCTTTTACTTTTTCAAAGGACCCATGTTTACATTGTTATTAATAGGTAACTGTATATTAAATGTTAAATTTGTTCTTTTTCTAGGAGTCTGAATATGTTTCTGCTCATCTTCATGAATGGATAGATCTGATTTTTGGCTATAAACAGAGAGGACCAGCTGCAGTGGAAGCACTTAATGTTTTCTATTATTGTAGTTATGAAGGTATCGATAAGTCTTTGTACTTTTTCCCTTGTATTATATTGATAGACACAATAGTTTAATATTTTTAAAACAAATAGTAAAATATTAATAAAAATTTATGTGACTATTATTTAATATTGTACATGGTATTGGGCATAACTACATAATATAAAAAAATCTACATTTAAAATAATATAGTGATATTTTTTCTATCTGAATGATTAAGAGTGCTGCATTTTCTTTTAAGTAGTGACAAATATACATGCAAATCTATTATAAGTGTCAAGTACTGGTGACAAAGGTTTTTTGATTTCTCTCCATATATGTCCTTGTTAGTGGGCTACATTAAATAATCAGCATTAAATTGTTAACAGACTTTGGAAAATAATCATTAGAATTGAAAATCAATTAAAAATAACGAAGAAAAAGAATCAGAAACAAATTCTTTGAATGTTAAATAAGATGACATTCTATTTAATTCAGAATCAAGAACTTTCTGAAGACTTTGAAAGGTTTAATGGTAGTTTTTTCTAACTTATTCAGATAACAGTTTTGTAGAGAAGTAGTGGCAGATAGGAATGTAGATTGAAATAACTTACCTAGTTTGACCAGTTAATGGCCATGTAATAATCCTTCTCAAATGTAATTGGGTGTAATCAGTTAACCAAAATACCACCTTTCACAACATCTGTTAAATATGCAGTATCTTATAGTTATATTTTGATGTTGTTAATTTCACTTGTTTCAACTTTACTGTCATGAAAAAAAAATGAGGTGTAATATAAGTATAGCTTTATTTTTCTTAGAAATTTTATTTATAGACTACCAATTAACATTTATTTAAGATATTTTAGTTCTAAATACTGGTTAGAATTTATTTTTTACATACTTAGTGTTTGAAATTTGTTAAAATATTGAAAAAGGCCCTGCCTGGTGGCACAATGGGTTAGGACACAGCACTCCAAATTAGCTGCAGTTGCTTCATGCGAGTTTGATCCCTGGCCCGGGAGATAATCCACATGCTCCAGCAGACCTCTCCTGTCTTTCCCCTGCTTCCTTCAGCAATGTATTTCAGTATATCTGCCTGTTCTGCTCCCTATTCTGTCTCTGGTGAATCCTCTCACTGCCCCTGTGCTTCTGGCCTGTACCTCAGTTATGTATGAATAAGTAAATTCTAATTTTTTAAAAGATTAATTTATTTGTTCATGCAGAACTGGGGTACAGACCAGAAGTGCAAGGGCAGTGAGAGGATTCACCAGAGACAGAATAAAGAGCAGAATAGGCAGACTGATGAAGTACACTGCTGAAGGGAGCATCAGGGTGAGACAGGAGAGGTCTGCTGCGCCCTGTTAATCTCCTCTGGAGCGGGGATCCAACTCGCAGGGAAGCGGCTATGGCTTATGCGCAGAGCTGCATTTTAACACGCTGCGCCACCAGAGAGGGCCCCCTATTTCTTTTTTTAAATGAACTCTTTACATCGTTTTTATGACTTGAAAGATGGAATATTATTTTGTTGTAAACATATTGACCAGTAACACATTGATCAGTTATGTGGCTTGCAGATTTGCAGTTATGTGAACTGACTTCTTATGCTTTTAGGAGCTGTGGATCTGGATGCCTTAACAGATGAGAAAGAAAGAAAGGCCTTAGAAGGGATGATTAATAATTTTGGGCAAACACCTTGTCAACTGTTAAAGGTAAGTCATGAAAGTTATTGATAACATAAGAAGTCTAGAATTGAATTGCCAAGGAGTAGTACCACCAGTGTTTCCAAGGATTTTAAATATTTAAAACTTTATAATCACTTCAAATTTGGTGGTGCATCAGGTTAGGACATAGCACTGCAAGCTAGTAGCAGTCCCTTCAGTGCAAGTTCGATCCCTACCCTGGAGGTGACCCACATAGCGAGGCAGACCTCTCCTGACACACCCACTGCTCCCCCAGCAGTGTACTTTGTCAGTGGACCTGTTCTGCTCCGCACTCTGTCTCTGGTGAATCCTCTCACCGCCCCTGCACTTCTGGCCTATACCCCAGTTCTGTATGCATAAATAAATAAATCTTTTTTAAAATTTTGGGAAAATTATACTGTTACTTAAGAAATAAATAGATTAACATATTGTTTGAATTTTGAAATAACAAATATGGCAGTAGAAATTAACATATACAGCTAAGTTACACCATTAAATCTTTATAGAAGCTGTTTCAATGTTTTCAAGGATATCTTGATGCTTGTTGTATGAACTTAAAAATATGATGCATACTTGTTATTCATCAATTTGATACTTTTTTATGTCAGGTGGTTTACATAACCCTCATAGTAAAAATCCATTCATTTTCATTTTTCAGATGATGAAGACAAGCCTTATTGAAATTAATAAGTAAATTGTAACACCTTAGCAAAATCAAATATTTTTTCCATGTTTGAACAACCAGAATGTGACTGGGGGAGGCCTTAGATATATAGCTATTCAAATCCAAAGCCTTTTTGCTGTGCTTTCTTCTGCATTAATAGCTATAAACTCCTTTATTGAACTAGATCATTTTCCCATGTTCTATTTGTTGTCTACTTATGATACTTTCTTCCTTTGTTAGTTGCACATTTACCCATTTGCTTAATTACATTATAAACATTTAAAGGCAGCAGCCTTCTCTTAATCATATTTGTATCTTTATTACATATAGTTTGTGTGTAGTATTCATTGAAGTCCACAACTTTTAAAGCAACATTGCATTTAAGCTCTGTCTTCTATTAACTCAATTTCAAACTAAGCTTTATAATTGTTACTATTACTTTGCAACCATTTTTTTGAAACCCCCAACAATGGTTTGTACAGAATAGATATTTTTGAAATCAGCATGTTATCTTTTATCTGCTATTAGAGTCAAAGGCAAAAGTAATAGAATAAAACAGACCACTTCACTGAGTTTTGAAATATTCTATAATATTTTTGTGCCTTCTTTACTTTTCCCTTTCCTTGATAAGCGATATCCTAATGAGTTTTATCTCCATAAAAGTGATATAAAAATTAGTCTTTGGTTTAAAGTAAAGTGTAGATAATCATATAAGGATAATTGAGAGCTAAATATTGATGTACTTATCGTAAGTGAAATTGTTTTTATTATATAACTTTATAACATACAAGAAGTTAAATTGTTGCCTATTTCCTGTAATTTAATGTTTAACAATGTAAACAGGTGAATGCCTTTCAGACAGAATTTTTATATATTTCAGCTGTGCTTTTGTAATGTTAGATTTGTCATTTTCTTATTTATAAAGGTGCTACTGTTTTACATCTTTGGCATTAAAGTTAGACAATTAAATATTTTTTAAAATAAATGAAGCAATAGTGCCCTCTCTGGTAGCACAGCAAGTTAAAGCGTGGCACTATGAAGCTAACTGCAGCCACTTCAGCACAAGTTTGATTCCCTGGCCAGGGGGGGTGACCCCAAGGCGTGGCAGACCTCTGCTGACCCACCCACTGCTGCCCTCAGCAGTGTAGTTTGTCAGTCTGCCTGTTCTGCTTTCCCCTCTGTCTCTGGTGAATTTTCTCACTCTCCCTGCACGTCTGGCCTGTACCCCAGTTCTGGATGCATAAATAAATAAATTTTTTTAAATGAACAATAAACAAATGAATTGATATCTAAAGTTTCACTCATACTATAAATTTTGAATAATGCATTTATTGTTGCCAAATATTTAACGTACTTCTGAATATTGAATATACAAATGTATATACAAATGAATATACATATTGAATACACACATACACACACATGAATTTTTTAAAACATTTTGTTTATTTTATTTATTTATGCATTCAAGAACTAGGGTAAAGGTCAGAGGTGTGGGGAGGTGAGAAGATTCATCAGAGACAGAGTGGGGAGCAGAACAGGCCAGTTTACTAAAACACACTGCTGAAGGTATTAGGATGCAAGACAGGAGAGTCTGCTTCACTATGTGTTAGCTCCCTGGCTAGATAGAACTCATGCTGCAGTGGCTGCTGATAGCTTCATAATGCTGAAACTTAACCACTTGCACCACCAGGAAGCCTCCCCTGGTCTGGCATTTTCAATAGTGCACAGTATGTAAGCCTTTGTAGTATAACTTATACCAGCGAATACAATATGAGATGTCGTAATACAATGATTGAATTATTTTTCCTTAAAATCATTTTAAAGGAGCCACACCCTCCTAGATTATCAGCAGAGGAAGCAGCACAGAAGCAGACCAAAACAGACACTTCAACTGTAAACTTATTTCAACACCTCTCTGAACTGAAGTCATTTTTTATAGAGGTAATATCCAACTTGATAATATCAAAAAATTTACTCTTGTCAATTACATATACCTCAATTTTTCCTTTGTTCATTGTGTAGGCGGTGAATTTATAGTACTTAATCCAAAATAGTAAATAATATTGCAGCAATCTGTTCTTGGATGTTTAAAACAATCTTAATGAAAACTTTTACTTGCTGCTTGAGGGTTACTCTGAATTATATCTTTTGAATTATTTTCATCTATTTCATATTTTCCTGATAAGGAAGAATAACTTTATGTAATTTTTTTTGGTGACAGTTAAGATAAAGAGACTAAAATAACTTAATTATAATACTTTCATATATAAATAGACCTAGTAAGTCATATTATTAATTGATAACATCAGAAGAAATAGCAAGTAAAACAGTATAGTTAGCTGCTGTAATTTAAAGTACACCTTCAGATTCAAAGGTAAAAAAAATACATTGTATTGTTTTGAATAGTTCAGGATATGAGTATTAAGAATAGTTAAAGATGTACATGAAACAGTGACTCTCATAAGTATAGCCGAGGTTGAGCTTCTTAAAGGATCAAATAGCAATTATTTTGAGCTTTGGAGTCCAAAGTCTAAATCTAGGTTATTATGTAGGCACACAAATAACTACTTGAAAATAACCATTAAAAAATGTAAAACACATTCTTAGCTTACCCACAGTCTATAAAACAGTTAGGAGAATGGATTGTTCAACATGCTTATAATACCTGCATTATTGTGAAATGGGTTTATAGGTTCACTATCACAGGATATTTTTTTTATCATAGGATATTTTTATATAAACTTTGATAATTTGATGTAAATAATTTTTATGACTTTATACTGAATTTGACTCAAATGAACAATACTAAAAAAAGCTCCACAGTATTTTAAAGTAAAATGTATTCTCACATGTTTATGAAAGTACTTCAATATTAATCTTTGTCACTGTTTTCCTACATCCTTTTATGGATGCTTAACAATACAAACCTTTAAAATTAGTTGTTTCCCAGTAGTATGTTAGTCTGAAACTCATAATATATAGAAATAATGCTTAGAAAATAATGACTAAATTTCTAGAATGTTTTTTGGGTTCCCAAAACTATCACCAAATTTGTTTTTTTTTTGCTAGTAGGACTCATGGGAATTAAATGTGTATGTGTATTCATAGTTGTGTATTCATAGTTAACATGAAGGATGCAAGGTGACATCAGCAAAGCATAAAAGCACATGGGGTGAAAGCAGGCACAACAGGACACAAGTCCTCTCCCAGTAAAGTCAAACAGGTCATACTTAATTTTTTAACAAATGAAATATGCCAGCATGGTTGTTTTTTTTTTTTCTTTTTTTTTTCTACCAAGAAAGCTCATTAGTGATTCAGCATCAGAGTTTTTATTGGGTTCTGGTCATACTGGCACCTTTTGCCTAGATTATGCCAAAATTCGACTCCCAGAAAAAAGCATGTGTTCAGCATAAATCACCTTGTTTAGACATGATGAACCCCCTTACTATTGAGGACAAGTTTTATACCAGTGTATATAAGGAACTTTTGCCACCGTGTTGCCAGATGCTACTGAAGGAATAATTTTCGACCTTTCTAAGGAAAGCAGTCTCAGTCATCCTGTGTTAATGTTTTACTGCACATAGTGCAACCCATAAAAGCTGATTTATATTATAATCTGATGAACATATAATACTAAGTTTATTATGTAATGCTGATAAAACTATTTTCATCATATTTACTCATTTATGACATTGTTTTTATAGGATAATATATTCTGAGTTGCATCTGCTGGTAGAGTGACATTTGCCCTACTCTATACTCTTGCCACCATGTCACAGAGGAAATTGCCCCAGGGAGTAGGGTAATGAACACAACCCATTTCCTTCATATCAATAACTTGTTAATATCTTTCACCATCATACTAGGTGTTTCCCATCCATTCACATAAAAAGAGAAGATCTGTCTTCCTATGTACTTTAATAAAGAAAAGTAAAGTGAAAGGAATGACTTAAATGGATTTCTTTAGGTACCATTTTCATTTAGGCTTATTCAAACCCAAAATGAAATTTCTATAAAACATAATCATTCTTTGGTCCAACCATTATGGAAAGTTGTGTGGAGGCTCCTCAAACTACTAAAAATGGAGCTACCATAAGATCCTAAAGTTCTAGGAATCTACCCAAAGGAAACAAAAAAACATTAATTCAAAGAGATACTTGCATCTCTATATTGCAGCACTATTTATAATAGGTAAGATTTGGAAACAACCCAAATGACCCAATATAAATGACTTGATCAAGAAGATTTGGTATAGATATACAATAGAATACTATTTAGCGATCAAAAAGATAAACTCATGCCATTCATAGCAACATGGATGGAGCTAGAAGGGGTGATGCTCAGTGAAATAAGCTGGAAGGAAAAAGAAAAATACCAGATGGTTTCACTATAGGAGGAATATAGGGGAACCAAATAAAGGGCCAGGAAAAAAATCATAATTAACCATAAATCCAGTGACATTCTGTTAAGGATGGGGACCAAAAGGGACCACAACAGGGGCGATGAGAACACAAGGGACTATGGTGAAAGTACACAGGTGAATTGTGTTGTGAATTTTATGGGGAATACGCAATGATGCAAAAGATACAAATAAGAAAAAACGTAATCAGTTCTCCTATTTGACTTATTTGAGGAATGTATTTTTATTAGGAACTGTATTTTGTATTTTATATTGACTTTAGTCTAGCAAAGGAAAAGGAAAGACCCTAAATGACTGACTGTTTTACATGGTTGATGCTCTTTGGATTCTACTTACTGTTAACAATAAAATAGTGGAATATGAGAAGTTGATAGGTGTCAAATCATTCATAGTCATGTTTTAATAAAGTGCTACATCACTGAATTCAATCTTGTTTAAAGAAATAAAAAGTTTCAAAAATTTGTACCTAATAAAAATAGCAGAACCAGTTATTAAACTTCTGTCTTTCATTTTACAGGGAATTAGTGATGGCATTCCAATAATAAAGGCCATTGTCCCAAAAAATCAGTCTCGTTCTTTTATGTCTCAAGGCAGTCCTGAATTACTGGTAAGTTGATTCATACCTTTGTCAACTTTGCCAAGTCTCTATCCATCACAACTCAAGGACACACAAAAACAAGAAGATAAAAAAAAATCATCAAGCCAAATTTAAAAATAAGAAAAAGTTTTAACGTAATTTGACCAAATATAAAAATACATTTTCTATTTATAAGCTTTTAAATAATTACTGTAATTCTGTATATTCTTTAAAGATTTACTTATGCGTACAGAACTGGGGTACAGGCCAGAGGTGCAGGGGCAGTGAGAGGATTCACCAAAGAGAGATGGGTGTAGAACAGACAGATAGATGAAGTAAACCACTGAGGGGAGCAGCAGGCAAGACAGAAGAGGACCTGTAATTCTTTTTTTTTTTTTTTTAAAGATTTATTTATTTATGTAGGCCAGAGGTGCAGGGGCAGTGAGAGTATTCATCAGAGACAGAGCACGGAACAGAACAGGCATATTGATGAAGTACACTGCTGAAGGGAGCAGCAAGCGAAACAGGAGAGATCTGTGGGTGACTTCCCTGGCCAGGATCAAATTCATGCTGATTGCAACTGTAGCCAGTTTCTGGGTGCTGTGCTCTAACCTGTTACACCACCAGGGAAGGCTCCGTTTATTTAATTTTTATCTCTGTGGTTTTTTTTCCCCCTAGGTAACAGTAAGCATGAATTATGTTATTGGAACTCATGGATGGTTGCCTTATGACAGAAACATTTCTAATTATTTTACATTCTTCAAGGATCAATCTGTGACTAATCCAAAGTAAGTAAAGAAACACTTCAAGCAAAAAGTTAACATCAGAAGAACAGATAGAGCAGTTAATCGGTGTCATGTAGAAAGTAATGTAGACCTGCAGATTTTCCTCTTCCCTACCTTACTCCCTTACTTCCCTCTTTCTAATTCCCTGACTTGATATTGGCTTAAAAACAAAATAATTTCTATAATATTATGGAAGCAAAAATTATTAGGGGATATTTTTAGGATTAATTTATTTATAAATAAATAGGCCTTACATGTCTTATGCAATAAGAAATTATCATTTACCTTAGTTATTATTTTACTTCTCCAGAGATTCCATTTTTAACTAATGTGACATTTTCTTTACTCTGATTAATTATTCATTTAAGAAGGGAAATATCAATATTCATTAGGGGAATTAATTTTTTTCATTCTTCATCAATTTTCTTCACCAGTCTCATCTTCTGTATGTTTACCTCTTGAGATTATTATTTAGTAAAAATATATAGAAAGTAAGATTAATCAATTTTCTAAAAGCTTTTATAATTTATTAATAAATACATTTCAAACTAAACAGTTGAACAGACTTTTTTTAGAGAGATTAAAAAATAGTTGATATTGGCCTTAAGTTATCTTTTAAGGAAGCATCTAATATTTGTTTTTACAGAACTCAGCGTAGTATGAATGGCCCTTTTGCTCCAGGGCTGGAGATCACTTCTAAGCTATTTATAGTATCACATGATGCAAAGTTGCTTTTCAGTGCTGGACACTGGGATAATAGCATTCAAGTGATGTCACTTACAAAAGGCAAAGTTATTTCACACAATATCAGACATATGGGTAAGCATAATTTTTCCCTCCCCACAAAAATTTGTTTTTTTTTCTAATTATAAATGTAGTATATATTCCTTAAGAAAAAGCATTAATTTTGGGCCCTTCCTGATGGCGCAGTGGGTTAAAGCACAGCATCAAGAAGCTAAAGCCACTTCAGCATGAGTTCAGTCTCCTCCCGGAGGTGTGACCCACATTGTGAGGCAGACCTCTCTTGACCCGCCCACTGCTGTGCAGTGTCCTTCATCAGTCAGCTCCCCACTCTGTTCCCCACTCTGTCTCTGGTGAATCTTCCCTGCCCCTGCTGCTGGCCTGTACCCCAGTTCTGTATGCATAAATAAAATAAAACAAACAAACAAAAGCATTAATTTTGCCTGTGGAACCAAGTGAATTTTTGGTAGGGCGGTATTGTGAATATTTTAAACTTTAAGAGTATTTCTTTAAAATCCTTTTATTTATTTTCTCACATCTTTGATAATTTTGGGGTACTATTTGATTTCTCCCCTTAGATGTAGTTCCCGTGATTCTCTTGCCACCACAATACCCATGATCCCTCACCACAGTCTCTTGGGCTTTTCCCTTCTCCCACCTCCTTCCCTGCTGTGTCTCAAGGGTCTATGGTCAACTTGCAAGTTTTGTCTTTCTTTCCTGTCCCTTTGTTTGATTTCTCTAGATTCCACATGTAAGTGAAAACTTTTCTTTTATCTATCTCACTTTGCTTAGAATAATCACTTCCAGTTTCATCTCTGTTGCTGTAAATATTATGTATTTTTTTGATCGCTGTGAATTATTCCAATGTGTATCTATACATCTTCTAGGCCAGTGATTTTTCAGGGGTACACTTAGGTGGTTTCCATATCTTGGCTGTTTTAAATATATATTCTTTCTAGTTTATTTTTGGACATATTAAAGCAGCATATAAATTCAGTATTGCATCATACCGTGTGAAATGTGTAAAATGTACTACTTTGGTTAAGGACAAACGTTCAGTGTGATTGCAGTTCTTAAAGGAAGTAGTAGTAGGTGAATGAGGATGAGAGAGTGAGAAAGTAGAGGGGCATATCAAAACTAATTGAATGTCCAATTCAAGCTACTGAGCCTTATTTTTTTTAAAGATTTATTTATTCATGCATACAAGAGCTGTGGTGTAGGCCAGAGGTCCCGGGAAGTGAGACGATTCACTAGAAACAGGGTTGGGAGTAGAACAGGCAGATGTACTGAAATACACTGCTGAGAGGAGCAGCCTGCTGGCTAGACAGGAGAGGTCTGCTGTGCCTTGTGGGTGAGCTCCCTGGCCAGGGGTGGAACTCTTGTGACCATAATTGATAGCACTGTTTTTAACCCCTGCACCACCAGGGAGGGCCTCAAAGTACCTATCCTTTTGCCAAAATTCTGACATTTCCCACCCTACATCTTCTCTTCACCCTCAAAGAAGGGTGGCCTCAACGCTTTCCTACATGATGTCAGTATTACTTTTTTTGGTGTCATTGTTTCTCAATACTTTTCTAGTGCCATTCCTACATTTCTCTGCTTGAAAAACTGATTTATTAATAAGTTGAACATAAAACTAAAACCATTCCATGTGTTTACTTCCTTTTTTTTTTTCTTCTTTTTTTATAGATGTTGTGACCTGTTTAGCTACAGATTACTGTGGAATACATTTGATTTCTGGCTCAAGAGATACTACTTGTATGATATGGCAAATAACACAACAGGTAGTTATATATTTAAATACTTTCAGTTCAGATTAAAAGTGTATCCTGGTATTACTGTTGAGATCCTCTTCTAATGAAACAATAATTATTTTTCTTGTATTATTTTCATAATATTTCTGTTTTTCTTTCAGGTATGATTACTAGAAATTAAAGAATTATAATTTTTATCATCCATACTGTATTCTCACAGTAAATGTTGGGGCAAAGAAGCAGCTTTTGTCATTATCATAGCTTCCGTATTTTCTATCTTTTTACAGGACTTCTTTCTCTCCAGATTTATAAAAATATTTAAACTTTTCAAGTTTTTTAAGTTTTTCTTTTTAAAATGTTTTTACATTTCAATATTTGATCCATTAGTAACTAATTTTTCTATATTTCATTTGTAGTATTATAATATTAGCTATATTACATATAACATAATGAATGTATTTAATAGAATACTCAGGGAACATATCATATATTCTATAACAATATTGACTAAAAAAATGTATTTTACTTCCAGGCAGAAAGTCTCTTATACCAACAAAAGTGATAAAATAAGCCACTTTTTACTCACTGTTAGCTTTTTTTCTAGGTTCCCCATTGTTTTACACTTTTCTATTTTATATCAATATCAAAGTGGGGGAGGATTTAGTAGTTTAATATTAGATGAGGTAAGTACCCCCCCCATTGTGTTCTCAGAAATTCTTACTTGAGTATTCTTCTATATGAACTTTAAAAATATTTTAACCACAGCCTCCTTTAAAATTACATTTTATTTTTAATCAAATCATATTTACAAATTCATTTTGTTTGGAATGAAATTTTAAAAATTTTTTTTACATATTTGCTTCAGTTTTTTTTTTTTTTTTTTAACTCCATATGATATTTTTCTGTTAGGTCCTGTACTGTGTTACAGTTGCTTCTAATTACCATACTTTTATTATTTTTTTGGTGGGAATATTAAAGTCAGTTTAATTTCTTTTTTGGGTTTTTTTTTTTTTAAGTATATGTCTGATGTCTTCTACATAGGCTTAACATTTATTTGCTTATTTATATATGTATTTAACAACACTGTTCATTTTTGTACAATATTTGCTCTCCTCTCTAAAATTCCCAATACCAATTCACCTGTGCACCATCACTACATCCCCTTGTGCTCTTCCCTCCCTGTTTTCTTATTAGTTTATATACTTATCAGTATTTTGCATCACTAATCATTTTTGCACAATGTTTATCATCTTTTCTCACTTGCAATTCCCTTAGAATTACCACCACCAGTTCACCCTTGCACCATCACTATAGTCCCTGTGCTTCTCCCACCCTCATTTTGATCCCTCTATCTTCCCCTCCCCTGCAGAATGTCTTTGACTTACTTTTATTTACGTTTATTATTACTATTTTTTCCCCTGATCCCTTATTTGGTTCCCTTATTTTCCTTCTATAAGTGAAGCTATCTGATATTTTTCTTTTTCCTTCTGACTTCTTTCTTTTTTTTAAAGATTTATTTATTTATGCATACTAAGAAATGAGGTACAGGCCAGAGGTGGGGGGGGGTGAGAGGATTCATCAGAGACTGTGGGGAACAGAACAGATAGATGTACTGAAGTACACTGCTGAGGGGGCCATTGGGGAGGGAGGGAGAGGTGTGCTGTGCCATGTGGGTCACCTCCCTGGCTGGGGATCAAACTCATGGTTCAATGGCTGCTGATAACTTCATAGTGCTGTGCTTTAACCCCTTGCCTCACCAGGGAGTTCCCCTTCTGACTTATTTCACCAAGCATAATCCTTTCTAACTTTAGCTATGTTGCTGGAAATGGCATTACTTTATGTTTTTTGATTGCTGAATAGTATTCCATTGTGTATCTATGCCATATCTTCTTGATCCAGTCATTTATTTTTGGGCATTTGGGTTGTTTCCAAGTCTTATCTATTATAAATAGTGCTACAGTAAACATAGGAGTGCAGGTATCCTTTTGAATTAATGTTTTGTTTCCTTTGGGTAGATCCGTAGGAGTGAAATTGCTGGGTCATATGGTACTCCATCTTTAGTAGTCTGAGGAACCTCTATACAGCTTTTCACAGTGATTAGACCAGTTTGCATTCTCACCAGAAGTGTAGGAGAGTTTCTTATCACCATTGGCCTCACCAACATTTGTGGTTGCTAGCTTTTTTTTAATAGATTTTCTCATCTTTAATTTTCTGATTACTTCATTTTCCTATTCTACTATTTGCTGGTGGTTTTCACTGATTGTGTTTTGTTCTGGATGATTTTCTTCCCTTTTTTTTCTCTTGGTATCTTTTTAGTTTTAAATAAAATTTAAATTTATAGGAAAAAATTTGAAATAGTACATTTTTACAATTTTTCTTATCACTGTCTTTGTTTAAAATCCTTTTAACACAGCTGTCGATTCCTTTTTTTTAACATTTATTTATTTATTTAGTAGAAGAACTGGGGAGTAAGCCAGAGGTGTGAGGGGGTTAAGGGATTCACCAGAGGCAGAGTGGAGAGCAGAATAGTCAGATCTACCGAAATATACTGCTGAGGGGAGCAGTGGGCGAGACAGGAGAGGTCTGCTGCACCATGTAGGTTAGCTCCCCTGCTGGGGATCGAACTCAAGGCTATAGCAGTTTTAGCTGTACTTAACCCCTAGGCCATGAGAGGGGCCCTGTCTTAGCAATGTCTTATTATTTCCTAGCATCTTTCTTTTTTCAATTTAAAAGTTGGAGGCATCTTGTTCCTTTATTCCTAAATACTTCAGTGTGTATTTTCTAAGAACAAAGATGATGTTATATATAACAGCAGTACAGTTATGAAAACGCAACACTTATTCACTACAATTATCTAATTCATTTCCTAATTTTGCCAATAATTAGGAAATAATCCCACTAAATCTTTACAGCTATTTCCCCCACTGTTTGTAGATTTTCCTTTACTTTTTTTTTTTCTTAGCTAATGTGTTATATTTTATTGAGAAATATCATTGGTTTGACACTTCTGGAACTCATAGAATAAACTATATATTTCATGTTATATTGTATTTTACTGCAGAATTTTATTTCCTTGTACTCTATTTTTCTACTTTACCATGCTTAGTATTAGAATATGCAATCTTCATAAATTTTATTTGAGAAGAGCCCATCTTTCTCTGTAGTTTGAATTCCTTAAATAATAAAGGATTCTTCTTATTAAAAATGAAAAAGAATGTTACAGTATGTGCTCAGACTGAGCTGATTCTCTTAGAGGAAGACAGATGTTTTAGATGTTTTTCAGGTGATAGAGTGTTGAAGCATTTTATGTCTACATTATATGACAGGTAGAATGCCTGGACAATGACAACTATACAAACAGATGTAATAGAAAGCAATACACAAGTAATGCATGTTAAAAACACATACATAGTCTTCTCTTCTGAAGGAGACAAATACATGGAAATTTCATGCATAATTGTGCTATTCAAAGAACGGAGTAAGAATTAAATTCAATAAAATTGGACCTCAACGATGAACATATATTAATAAAATACCATAATATTAAAAAGGCAGATTGCAGAAGAATCAAACTGATTATTTCTTCTATCATTACAAATATTATAAGTAATTAGAACCAAAAAGAACACATTTGATGTGGTTGAAAATCAAATTATTAACATTTAAAAAGTATTTTAAAAATCAGTGTGACTGCACATGAAAAATAAAAGGAGTAAAGCAATTAGAAAAGAATCGATAGCTATAGAAAGAGAAGACAAATCAGCTCAATGATAATTTATGTTCTTGAAATGTAAAGAATCCAGTAAATGGAAAAAAGAAATATTTGAGGTATAAACATAAAGTTTCTTTGAAAAGAATGAAGAATAACTCTATAAATGAAAATATACCGGTTAAAATTAATATAAAACCATCAGATTTGGGCTTTCTTTTGTTTTCTGTTTTATTTTTTATTGATTAAACTTTTTATTTTCTTACATTGTTGTTTGTTCATTTTTATAGAATATTTCATCTCTCCCTTCAGGTGTAGTCCCCCAAAATTGCCCACAACCACATCACCCATGAACTGTCACCAGTCTTTTGTGCTCTTCATTTACCCTTTTTGATTCTCTCCTTTCCCCTTCCCTTCTGTATATGCCTCAGATCTAAAATTTGCCTGCAAATTTCATCTTTTTTTTTCTTACCATTTGTTCGGTTTTCCTATATTCTTCCAGTAAGTGAAACCATCCAATATGTTTCTTTCTCTTTCTGATTTATTTCACTGAGCATAATCCCTTCTAGCACCATCCATGTTGCTGCAAGTGTCATTCATTTATCTTTTTGACTACCGAATAGTATTTCATTATGTATCTATACCACATTATGATCCACTTATCTGTGAAACTACGGAACTATTCCATTTAAGTTTTGAGCTTTAAAATACAATAATTTGAGAAGATAAATATGCAGTGCTCCCATAACAGATTCAGTGGTAAGAACTAATACAATGTTAGTTTGTGATTGCAGTTTAAATGCAATTGTAAACCTTTTAAAATAAAATATGGCTTACTAGAAAACATCTTTGTTTTTCTGTTTTAAATATTAGGGAGGTGTTCCAGTGGGCTTGGCATCTAAACCCTTTCAGATCCTTTATGGACACACTGATGAGGTATTGAGTGTCTCCATCAGCACTGAACTAGACATGGCTGTGTCAGGATCAAGAGTAAGATTTCACCTTTAAGAAATACTAAGTTTTTTTTTTTTTTTTACAAATTCAGAAGTTATATTTATATTTAACTTTAAAAAAAATTTCTAATACTTTCTGTGTGTAGGATGGCACTGTGATCATACATACCATTCAGAAGGGTCAGTATATGAGGACCTTACGACCACCTTGTGAAAGTACTCTACTCCTTACCATTCCCAATTTGGCCATATCTTGGGATGGACATATAGTCATCTACTCCAGCATTGAAGAAAAAACAACCCTCAAGGTACACATCATTTTCATGCACTAGGGTTTGGCTATCTGTAAGTTTGCCCCCTTTTCCTATATTATTTATATGAGGCACTTGAAGGATTTTTTTCCTTCACAATTCACTCTATACATTCCTTGCCATTGGGTGGAACCACACCACAGTGGTCCCCTCATGTTTTTATTTTGTTTTAGGGATTTCTATTGGGCTATCTATAGTATATGATTTCAAAAATAATTTCTGGTTATGTGGGACTTCATAAACTTAAGTGGAAATTATAACCAAATTAAGTTCTTTTTCAACAAAGCACAATATTAATAAACAAGCCACTATACTCTGCTTATTGTTGTTCAATTATAAAGCTTTTTAAAAATGAAGAGACTCTTGTTTTAAGAATGTCTATGTTTTTGTTTTGTACTGGGCCTTTTAATTCTTTTAGAGTTATAAGTGTTCTTATTTAATGTTTACTTATTTGACAGTCTCAGGACCTTCAGAGTATGAGACTGATGTGCTGCCTACTGTGATAAGGAAGCAACTATTTCAGTTTCATTTGATAATCACTTTTTTTTTAAGATTTTATTTTTACTTATGCATATAGAACTGGGTAACAGGCCAGAGGTGCAGGGGTGGTGAAAGGATTCACCAGTGACAGAGTGGGGAGCAGAACAGGCAGATCGACAAAGTACACTGCTGAGGGGAGCAGCGGCCGGGTCAGGACAGTTCTGCTGCCACGTGGTCACCTCTGGGGCAGGCGGGGATCGAACTCATGCAGAAGTGGCTTTAGCTTCTTAGTGCATGCTTTAACCTGGTGCACCACAAGGGAGGGCCTGATATCACTTTTAATAATTGTCTACACAGTTTCTCTTTAAATTGCCATTGTTTATTCCAAATTTTTAAACAAATAATCATTGTTATAGTTCAAATTTTATTGATAATGTTAAAATTTAGTTTTAACTTGATATCATCAAATATTTTTCATTATATCTTTGCAGGATAAGCATGCATTACATCTGTATTCTGTAAATGGCAAGTATCTAGGATCTCAAACCCTGATGGAACAAGTATCAGATATATGTATAATCGGAGAACACATTGTCTTGGGCAGCTTACAAGGATTCCTGTCCATAAGAGATCTTCACAGGTAAATAATGAAACTTATTAAGAAAAGGTGACAGTACTTTTAGCCTCAGGTGTTAAAAATCAGCAGGTGTTAAAAATCAGCAGCCTAAGATTTTTTATGTTTTGGTTTATCATTTATTTGTGAACATGTATTTTTTAGCAACTATGAAATACTGGGAAAGCCAAAGTTTTCCTGGATTAGTAGTATATATATACACACATATCGTGTGTATCTATGAACATATGTATTGGGTTTTCAGAAAAGTCATAATGTATTACAAAAATGCATTTTGACTTTTCTGACAACCCAATATATGTATGTGTATGTAAACACACACATATATGTATATATATGTTTGTATGTGTGTATGCATATACATATGAAATGTCATTTTATAATATCATGTTTTGTCCTACTACATCTTCTAAGAAAGAATAGAATGGTTTTATTGACCTTATTTTCCCTTATACGCACAAACACTTTGAGTTTTGCCCTTTTTATCCAACTTTCACTTGTTAATCAACAGGTGAAAATAATTTAGTAAGAGTTCATATGTGGGAGCCTCCCTGGTGGCACAAGAGGCTAAAGTGCAGCACTATGAGCTATCTGCAGTCACTACCGCAAAAGTTCAATCCCAGGCAGGGAGGTGGCCCACATGGTGCAGTAGACCTCTTTTATCTCCCCTGCTCCTCCCCTCAGCAGTAGATTTCAGTCAATACACCTGTTCTGCTCCCCGCTCTGTTTCTGATGAATCCTTTGACCCCCCTGCACTTCTGGCCTGTACCCTAGTTCTTGTATCTTTTTTTAAAAAAAGAGTTCATATATAGGTTTAGATGAAAAACAGTGAGAATAGACAAAATATCTATTATATTAAGCATTTTAAGTAAGGCTGTGAGTATGCATCATTGTGCAAGTTATTCAGACTTTCTACCTGTCCTCACATCTATAAAATCATGATGCAGAACTAGGTTTTCACTTAATTATCTTCCAGGTTTCATGTAATTATATTTGTGTTTTTTTTCATTCTCTTGCAGCTTGAATCTGAGCGTCAACCCATTGTCCATGAGATTGCCTATTCACTGTATTTGTGTAACCAAAGAATACAGCCATATTCTTGTAGGATTAGAAGATGGCAAATTGATTGTAGTAGGTGTTGGGAAGCCAGCAGAGGTAAAAGCTAGAATTTTTTTTTTATAATTGTTGAGGATTTTGCCAGTTCATCTTTCTTCCAGCTGAATCAGCAGTCTATTAGTGATAAATTAAAAACAAATTTGGTTTCTCAAAGAATAGTAAATGGCAAGAAGAGACATATGTAGTATTTAACACTTAAGATTATATTATGATAAAACTGAAAGCGCATGTTTGGTCATCCCATATCATCCCACATGAGTAAGAATCTATTCTCTTCTTCCAAATCTAGATTCAGGATACTACTTGGATTTTTATTCCATGAAAGTTTTTGCATAAAATAAAATAGGGGCCTCCATGGTCGCTTAGGAGTTAAAGACAGCACTATGAAGCTATTGCCTACAACAGCAGTACATCTGATTACCCCCAGGGAGCTGACCCACATGGCAAGGCAGACCTCCCCTGTCTCCCCTGCTGCTCCCTTCAGCAGTGTATTTTACTACATTTGCCTGTTCTGCTCCCGACTGTGTCTGCTGAATCCTCTCACACCCTACCTCTGGTTTGCACCCCAGCTCTTGTGTGCATAAATAAATAAATCTTTTTTAAAAAATGGTGGCAGACAAATCACATAAAAGAGTATATTGCACTTGGGAAAGAAATTCCAATGAGTCATGGTTACATTTAGAAATGTTTCCCACAGGAAAATATGAGCACTTATAAAGGGGTGTATAATGTTTGATCCATTTAATTTTTTTAAAAGACTTATTTATTTGTGCATACAGAGCTGGGGTACAGGCCAGAGCTACAGGGGTGCTGAGAGGATTCACCAGAGACAGAGTGGGGAGCAGAACAGGCAGATCAACGAAGTACACTGTTGAGGGGAGCAGTGCCCCGGTCAGGAGAGGTCTGCCACGCCATGTGGTCACCTCGCTGGCAGATGGAACTAATGCTGAAGTGGCTTTAGCTTCTTAGAGCTGTGCTTTAACCCACTGCTTCACCTGGGAGGGCCTTATCCATTTAATTTTTAATTAATTCATTATTGATATATCTAAAAATTGTGCTTGGTGGTACATTGAATGGTATATAAAATTTGGTTCATGAAAGAGATTATGCTGTTCTTGTTTTATAAATTCTGTTACTATTGTAAACTTTTTAAATTTCTCATATGAAGATTCTTTTATATTGCTTTCAAATTATTTAATAAAAATATTATTTTACTTATCTTTGTAACTTACCATAAAAATACTGCAAATGGGCCCTCCCTGGTGGCGCAGCGGGTTAAAGCACAGCACTAAGAAGCTAAAGCCATTTCCGCATGAGTTCGATTCCCGCCTGCCCCGGAAGTGACCACATGGCGTGGCAGACCTCTCCTGACCCGCCCACTGCTTCCCTCAGCAGTGTACTTCGTTGATCTGCCTGTTCTGCTCCCCACTCTGTCTCTGGTGAATCCTCTCACCCTTCACATCTCTGGCCTGTACCCCAGCTCATTATGAAAAAATAAATAAATTAATTTTTAAAAAAATACTGCAAACACAAGAGGAGAAAATCTTGTTACCTAGGTTTAGTAAATTTTTGAACAGATCATTTTGATGAAATAGCATATATTTTTATGAGTCTGTAAAGTAAGGGATCTGGTAATTTTGATGTAACTGTGACTTTTAATTTAAAACGTTTTGCTTTGGTGTTAATCCTTTCTTAACTGAAAGATGATCAACCTAGAAACATTTTTTATTGCTGTTAATCAATAATTATCAAAGTGGAAATGATTCTACTAACAAACTTATTTCTTCTGCATTCTATAAAATGTTTCATTTATCAATTTTCTTTATTTTTTCTTAATAACACATTGTTCATTTCTCTGGATTACTTTAAACAGGTGCGAACAGGTCAACTTTCTCGAAAATTCTGGGGAGCTAACAAGCGAGTAAGCCAGATTTCAGCTGGAGAAACTGAATATAACACCCAAGATTCTATGTGATTGTTTCACCACCTCTATGCTGGATAACTGAAATTTTACTTATTGCTTCATCACTTTATCTCTAACTTTCTCAGATATTTTGGGACTTTTATCCTTGATACTTACTTAGTGACTACCAAAATTTGTATGGTTTATATATGAGGAAGTAGCTTAGATTACTCTCCACTTAAAACAGTTTTGGTTAACATTAAACCCAGTTCAATCTTAGTAATTAATTTTCAGTCTTTACTAAAGTGAATCTGATGAAAGTATTGATTAGATTTAATGATCTATTCCTAAAGATTAGGCCCATCTTTAAAGAAAACTTCTAAAAATAAAGAAGAAAATTTATAAAGAGAAAAATTTAAAGTATGTTCTAAAAAGAGTACAGATAATGGGACAGTTGAGAGACATGGCTTTTTTTTTATAACAGTTTATTTTTACATCATTTTGTACTTTTTTTTTTTTTTTTTTGCCATCTCAATTGTAATCCCCGTGGGTTTCCCATCACCAAGTCACCCATGTGCCAGCACCATAATCCCGTACACTTCCCTCCCCACCCCCTACCCCCGTTTTTGATGAGAGACATGGCTTTTTAATGCATTCTTTTTCTATTTATTGAATGTCATATTAAAAATATATCTTCATTTGTGGAAATCCTAATTGGAGGTAATATTTTAAAGGTTATCTGTTATATGCTTGGATTTTCAAGCTCAGTATAAATCCCAGTTTTCATGATGCTAAAATGATGTTAAATCGGTACAGAAGTTCATTCCAGTGCTTCTTAACATGTTACTAATGAGAATTTACTGAAATGTATTTATTATCCTTAGTAAAGGTTGATAACAATAAGAGACACTAGATGTATATTTTCATAAGTTTTCCACTAATAGTATAAATTAATATGATGATTATGATTTTGAGAGTTTGTCCTTTAAGTAGCACTGTAGCACAATTTATATCTTCAAGGTTTGAAGTTTCTCACCTTATTTTAACTGAGCAAATACTGTGGTTTTTTTCTCCCCAATAATTTTAAGAGTTAGCAATGATACCCAAGTATGTTAAATTTATCCCTTGGACTTTCATGTGATTGATGAGTGAATTGAAAAAGTATGCATAACTTAAACGAGTCATTAATATATTAATGTAAAAATATTTTTATTTCATGGTATGTATAGCTTTAGTTTGTAATTTTATTGTACATAGCTCTGTGTATTATGCTTTCTTATTCAAGATATTAAAATTAAAAGGCTGATTTATTTGGGACTCAAAGAGATTGTGTACTATAGTGCTTTTTATAAGATCTTTTGAGTTAGGTCATGGAGCTTTAAATAACTAGGTATCTGAAATTGGAGAGTTCATGGATAAAGAAATTCAAGAATCCCTTGAAATCGTGTGGAATTCTGTATGTTAATTGTATTTTTTCAGGACTGAATGGTAATTTTGTTTTCTTTAGAAGATTTATGACCAGGGTTGGGGCGAAAGACTTTTTTATCATAACATAGTCTTTAAACATTATCCTTTTTTTTCCCATAACTCACTGATATCTTCATATCTCAGTTGAATCTTTGAGAAATTTTCACTTTGTAGTTTTTTCTCATTTCTCATATTTTTTATAATCCTGTGAGTAAAACATCTAATAAGAAGTAGAGGAAGCAGAAGAAACTTTGTTCACCATAAAATAGACATTCTACCTAGACTGAAACTAGGTGTTCAGCAGAGTTCAGATAAGTTTTCCTTTTTAAAAAATTATTGGTTTTATTCATTAAAAAAAGTTATGTTTTAGGTAAATAATGCTGTTCCAGAAAGCGTAAAATAGAATATATGTAAATGTGAAGTTTTCGTTTTTTGAGGACTTCAGAAATTTGTAGGAAATGTCTCAGAATATTCCAATGAGGATATTATGATTTGTAAATGAGATTTATTGCTTGCATTAATTTATTTCCATTTATTTTCATTCATATCTTCTTAAGAAAGGTTTCAAGTCAGCACAACCAACATGGTTAATTTAAGTTTTGATTTTTTTTCCTAATTCGAAAGGATAGATTTATTAAAAAGAGAGAGAAAAGAAAAGAGCACCTGTATAGACACAAAGGGGCAGAAAGAGGTGCTGCTGATATTTTTTTTTTAATTTCTAAATTGAAACTTGGAATATTTTGTTTGTTTATACAGAGATTATCACATAATGATATATTTTTTTCAGGTGTTGCTTTTAGAAACTACTTTGGGTGCTTTTAAGTAAAAATGTTTAACTGAAATTATCAAGTTAATTTCCTAAATTTATGATGTCCTAGTTACTGTTTTTTAAGAAACCAAATATATTTGAGACGATATCACAAATGGAAGCAGCTTTGTTCAACGTAAAATAGACATTCTACCTAGACTTGTTCAGAAGAATGAAATTATTCCTTATGCTACTTCTTCCCAAAAAGTAAAAAAAAAAAAGTATAATTTTGAGGAAACTCTATAAGAATACTAACAACTGTAACTTCATTTATTCAAGTATGCAAATAGAATCATTTGCTGACTGCAATTACCCTTCAAAGCAGTTTAGACTACTGGATTAAAATCAACTAGATAAAAATCACTGGAAAAATACACTTTACGACATTCCTGTTGTACGTAAGTGTTAACCATAACATCATAATCATTGTTTCTATATTTTAGAATCGGAGAAATTACAGTATCACTTGAATGTTATAACAGGTAGACCTTTCAGTTGATGGATACAACATCTGACCTTTAATATTATAAAATCTATTGTCTGCTGAGTTTTCCATATGCTTTTGCTTCTTGATACTAGAGATGGTAGAAATAAAAATTTCAGCATTCCCATGATGGAAGATATTTATGCTAAAATAATTATTTTATTTTCATATAAAGAAATCAAGTATTAAAATATATAAAATTACATAATGTTATTTGTCAAATATGTTTCAGTTTTAAAAATAAAAACATTATTGGTATGTTCAAAGAATAATGAAGTTTTATAAGATTTTCTTCAACTCTTTCAGTCAGTATGTAATCTGTCATTACTAAAAGTTGAAGGAGAGAAGAAAAACAGGTCAGGGCATGAAAATTAGGAAAGTGTATAAAAATAAAGGTTGGTCTTTTGCTTAAAGTCTTTTCAAGCCTGTGAAACTCATGTCAACCATGAATAAATTTCCACCAATTTCCTTCAGGCCACAGTGCTTTTTTGAGGTAAAATAATCTTTTTATAAGAGATAAAGTGTCAAATGTTCATTTGGCATTAGCAAGGAACATCAATACTGTCAGTAAGGCCTCCTTTTTTCTTTGTTAAGTCATAAAAGCTATCCTTAATGAACTAGTTTTGGAAGTAAATTTTATGCTTTTGAAAAATGAAATGGGTGTGTTTTCATAATTAACTAAAATTTGGATTTGAAGAGTGTATCTTAACCTAAGACACATTCTTTTTTGGTTAAATGGAGTAGGCAGAGAAAATTGTTAACATCAGATTTCTATATAATGCTTGTTGCCTCATAACCTTTTACCTTTATATATATTTTATATTATTACTGGAGGAACCCATAATAGAAATAATTTAATTGAATTTAAAAGGTTTTTATATGTATATATATATATATATATATATATATATATATTTATAAAATGAGTAACATCATCATCTTTTCCATGAAAAGATGTAAGTGCATGACCTTTATTAAATATAAATATCACATATATATAACATGGATGTGTGTGTGTGTGTGTGTGTGAAGGTCAATCTCTTCAAATAGACAAACTTGTCCTTGTCTTCTATAAATAAGTTTCTTTAAGATATAGTTACTGACTGATTTAAGAAATGAAATGCTCTTTTTCATTTGTATCTCTCATCTGTTGTTTTCCTTTATCAGTCAGACTTATAGCCTGGACTACTTTTCCTCTCATCAAATTACAACTGTAAGTGACCAGTGTTAAACACCTATTCTCAATATTATTTTCCCCTAATTCTTATACATACTGGACACTTAATATGATTTAAATAATGATCCCATCTAGAACATTGTTGTGGAAAGTTATCCTGTTTTAGAGTCCTGGTGATACTTTTTCTGAAAACATTAGGCAACAACAATATAGTGTCAGCTGTCATCATTTCAATATTCTTGAAATGTTTGCCATAATGTACTTTAATTTGAATCTAGCAGTCTAGGCCAGTGATTCTTAATTGAGAGTACAGTTCATGAAGTTTTATCCCGGCACTAATCTGGACTTTGAGTCCCATTGCTTGCTACTTAATATAAAAAATACTATATCTCAGGATTATTATGTTAAATTGTAAAATATTTCCCTTATAAAAATTACATCCATCCACTTTTATAAATCAGATTTAATATTCACATGTTTAAATAGAAAATTTTAATCATCTTCAAAGACATTTGCCTAATATTTACTTAGAATGAATTTATTATCTTTGTTTTGCATGTCAGAAAATCCAAATTTCTTTTCAGTTAAGTTATTTCTGTGGAGGTCTTTCACACTTAAAAACAGTATTATTTGCCTCAGAAGGAGTATATCTTTAATTTTGGTACTTCTTAATACTGACACTGAATATTCTAATTAGGTATTTTTAAGTACTAATAAAAACATGAATAATAAAATGCTAGATTTTAAGCATAGAATTAGCTCTCTTGTGGCTTTAATGCAACTAAGCAATAGAGTATTCCTAATTAAAAAATAAGGGTAAATTCCCTAGTACTTCTGATAATTTTTATAGTTATAGCTTCTGTATGAAAATAATCTTGCATATGAAAATGTATAGAAGATAAAGCATTAATATTTAAGATATTTAGACCCATATTGGAAATTATTTAATTCCTATATTCAAAATCTAAGGTCAACCTAGATTATAGAAGTTATACAATAAACTTTATATAAAAGTGCTGTATAATCTCATTTTACAGACTATAGAAATTCATCGAAGATACTTTTTCATAGATTATTTTACTTGTCTCAAGTGTGTAATTTCTAAACACAATCCAGAAATTTTGATCTGTGAAACTAATGACACTTAGTGAAAAGTAAAAAGATATACAATTATATTTTCCCTTGTTTAAAAACCTATATAGTCTTATGATCTGAAATCTCAGAAAAAGAGCAAGTTAAAAAGTCACTAATTCCATATTTGTTTTCCATAACATTTCATTATATTTAAATCCTTTGAAACTTATTTTGTAGCTTTTACTACAATAATAACACAGTTTTGTTATTGAAAGAATTACCCATTCATTTTTCAAAGTTGACTGTTAGTAAAGTATTAGGAGAATGTGCTGTGTGTGTGTATGTATGTGTTTGTTCACTTAATATGATTTCTGCTTAGTTATTTAAGATCATAACTACTTTTGAGTATATAAAATAATAAGCTAATTGTATTACTTTTACAAGGTAGTATTTTAATTTGAGAATAAGAAAACAAGATTTATGTGGACTTAAAAATA